AGCTTTTTAATTTCTTTCAAGCCTAATATAGGAACTAGATCTAATCTGATCAGTGTGGGTGGGTGGGAAAGAAGCTGGCAAAAGAAAGGTAAGCTCAAAATGGAAGTGGAGAGGCTATAGAGAAAAACGAATTATGAATCCTATGTATCCTTATAGGGAAGTCAGATGAGTAGCTGTTCATGAGTTGCTACTCTTCCATTTTCATCTTTCCTCTCTTTCACTCTAGTCATAAACCCCAGATAATAATATACAGTACATTTATTGCCTTGTAAACTCAAGTGTGTGCATATAGACAAGTACACCCCTAAACAAGAGGAGGAGGGGAGTAAAACACACAAGCAGCGTATTACTTGTTTTCACAGAAGAAAGTATGCCTCCAGTAGCACCACTTCTACTCTTCTAGTAAAAGAATTGGATGGAATTACAGAAGCCTGCATGCTTTCCCTATTTTGGTATATTTAGAATTTGAATTTTGTACAATCACCTTATTTGCTTCTTGCTTTTTTATTTCTTAATTTTGTATCTCCTTCCCTTTAGGAGTTTTATACAGTCTAGTATTCCTCCCTTTGTCCATCCATCTGTCCATTCCCTGATGATGTTTTAATAAAGTTGATTGGGGAGAGAATGATTCCCCAGCTTCTATGTTTGAAAGATAAATCTGAGTCTCTTGGTCATAGTCCAACATTTTAATCATAGTATTGTACTGGTGCTCTTACTGATTGATCTAAAATGAATCACTCCAACCTTTTGAACCCGTACAATAAGTGTGAATATTGGAATAAAGCTGATGATTTTTTTGTTCCTACTTTGTTTCTTATGTGTAAGAACTGTGGACGCTAGGGATAGCTTTTAAAATGAATTTAGAAAACCTGATTAAAGGCAACCATTTTGTAATGGATGAACATTTAGAAATACATTAGTGGAAGGAAGGAAGGAATGTTGGACTTCTTGGCTATAATTTTGTAATTGCTTTGTATTTTCAGAAATGAATAAGAGGCTCATATTAAAAATGTTAATTACAAATTAAAGGTGGGCTTGTGGTTGCAGCTATTTTGTTTTCACTAGCTTTCCATTATTATGAAAAGTTGGAAATACTAAGAAGGAAAATTAGTTGGACTGGAATGTAGTCTTCAACCAAACAATGCCTGTATTAATGGACATCACTTGATGGAGTACACAGAAGTAAAATTTGCTTTATTACTGGCACAAGGAGATGGAAGAATTCAGTTATAACAGTGAAGAAATTGCCATTGGCTGACTGTGGAACAGATCACAGATGGCCTACCTGCACGTTCCAAATCAAGGTGGAAGAAGGAAGCCAATTAATTGCTACAGTATAATTTGAACTTATATCAACATTTTCAAGATGAATATAAGTTACTGTCTCTTCAACCCTCTTCATGGGATGATCGTTGTGGGGAAAATAGGAGGAGGAAGGTGTGTTGGATATGTTCCTCATCTTGAGTTATTTGTAACAATAAGGCAAGATACAAACACATAAATAAAAGTAGAGCAAACAATAGAAGAAGAAGCTGTAAAGGTTCTTATCAGCAAACCTGGAGAAGACACAGTGGCCTTACTCTGCCACAGTCCCTGAAACCTTATCTGACCATTCCCAGTATAATTCAGTCAGTCTGGTGAAATTCTCGTAAATAGACATTGTAACAATAAAGAGGTAATTTTGATGAACCCTGGGCCTAATTCCTTGTGCCTGACAGTTGCTGATGCATGCTGGATAACCGAAGAGGCCAAAGAATGCCAGAGATCAAATATGATTTGTTGATCGTATAAAGGCCTTGTATAATGATATTGTAGGCCATGTCTAGGTATGGAATGTTCTTAGGAAAATTGGTATCCAAGAACATCTTATTCTCCTTGTGCAAAATTTATACATAGGCTAGAAAGTTAGGGACTATGTGGTGGAACATGATAGAACAGACCAACTCACAAGAAATCAAGCTGCATACTCTCCCTTCAGTATATATTGAGCGTATGGATTGGAAGCAGATGAGTTTTAAAATTGGAGGTAGAATCATTTATGCCTGTGCTCTGCTGATACTCAGCTGAAAATGCAAATGCTCTGTAATTTCTAGTAATGAAAGTTAAGGAGCAGAATGAAAAATGAGATTATATTAAATATAAAGTAGGCCAAAATAACCATAGTGAGTACAGCAACGAACATGGAATTGGCAAAGATACGGAAGTGAAGCGTATCTTCTGCCTTTTAGGATGAACAATGAACAGTAAAGGAATCGGCAGTCAAGAAATATTTTGAAAACTTGAATTTGGTACGGTTGCATTGAAGGCCTTGGAAAAAATATTCAGTTGCCATGATGTGTCTGTACCTACAAAGATAAGAATTGTGAAAACTCTGGTTTTCCCTGTGGGGAAAGGAAGCAAGTTGGACTTGATGGCATAAGATTAGTATTATTAATGTGATAAAATTAATGTATTGTTATGTGGATGGTGTTGATTACTTTCCATAGAAAGCTAAAGGTATTGCATTGGAGTAACTTTAATGGTTTAGAATATCTGCACAATATTGCAAATTGCTCTTTATTGCAGTTGTTGCAAATAAAGATAGCTAATATAGCTAGCCCACTAGGAATTGTTAGAAATAGTACATATTCCATGACTTTTTAAATAGGTAATTTAAATTGAATTAGGATAGAATCTAGAAGAACTGCAAAAATTAATATATATACTTTTTTCCCCCAGACATGTTTTTCCCTATACCATAAGTGAATTGTGAGCTGTATGACTGTCTTAGTGACATCACTGTAGTTTTAGTGTTTATTTTGCATGACATGGAAATTTTCTGATGTTCTGTAGGTAGTCCTCAACTTATGCTTATAATTGTGCCCAAAATTTTTCTGGCTAAGTGAGGCAGTTGTTAAAATGGCTTTGCCCTACTTTATGACCACTTATCACAGTTGTTAAGTGAATCACTGCAGGTGTTAAGTTAGTAACATGGTTGTTAAATGAATCTGGCTTCCCCATTGACTTTGCTTGTCAGAAAATCATAATCACGTGACCTCAGGACACTGCAGCCATCATAAATATGAGCCAATTGCCAAGTGTTTGAATGTTGATCACATGACCATGGGGATGCTGCAGTGGTCATAAATGTGAAAAATGGTCATAAGTCACTTTTTAGTGCTGTTGTAACTCAAATTGTCACTAAATGAATGGTTGTAAATTGAGGATTACATGTACAGGTAGTCCTCAACGTATGACCACAGTTGAGCCCAAAATTTATGTTCCTAAGTGAAAAATTTGTTATGTGAGTTTTGCCCCATTTTATGATTTTTCTTGCCATATTAAGTGAATCACTGCAGTTGTTCCAACAGTTGTAACTGCCAGAATGCCTGTAGTGCCAGAATGCTAACATTAGTAATGTTGTTAAGTGAATCTGGTTTGCCCATTGTCTTGGATTGTCAGAAGATTGTAAAAGGTGATTACAGGACCCCAGAACACTGCAACCATCATAAATATGAGTTAGTTGTCAAGCCTCCAGATGTAAATCACATGATCATGGAGATGTCAAAAATGGTCATGTCACTTCTTTCAATAACTTTGAATGGTCCCTAAGCAAACTCTTGTAAATCGAAGACTATCTATACTCTGAATAGGATACTGATGTAAATTCAGTTGCTTTCCTAAAGTTTTTACCATAGTTAATTGACTATAGTAATTCAGTTTAGGAAATGGATTATCCATGTTTATGGAGTAGTTATAATTGTATTTTAATTAATTCATTACAGAGTGGCCCTTCTGTTTTGTGAAACCAGGATTAAGCCATCTTACATATGAAAGATATTGTATGAAAAATGGAGGGAAGACTTTCTCCCAGACTGTGATTTACTATGTCTCTTTAATGGCCAGTGCAGCTAACTACATACCCTGTTTCTCCAACAATACGGCCTCCCCCAATAGGAAGTCCCAGCATGTTTTATAGGCATGAAATGAAATTAAGCCCCTCCCCCCCAAATTAAGGCCTATATTAAAATATGCGAAATGGGGAATGGTGGGGGGGAGGGCTTGTCATTAGGAAGTACTTTTGTTGCACATCCGGATATGGTGCTGCCTGCATTGACCCTGATACAAAGTGCCCCACCAACACCGAGGTCAACATCCAAGCCGTCGCTGCCTGCCCGCCCAAAGATGCAAGGAGGGGGGAATTAAGTCACCCCCGAAAAGACAGCCTAGCCATTTTTTCGGAGCTCAAAAAAAAATAAGACCGGCCTTATTATATGAGAAACACGGTAGTAATTGTGTGTGCGTGTGTGTATAAAGAAAATTTCATTTTGCAATTACTGGGTATGGTAAGTAATATATAACTATTTAATGGACAATTGTTTTTATTCTTCTAACTCATAAAATGTTTTTGTATTTTGGTACCGTACAGAATATTGCCCATTCTGATTCCATAACTAATCCTAGTTATAACAGTGCCTACTTTCTAAGGGGAAAACATGTGTTTTAGAGTTTTACAGTCTTCTCTCTAACATTCACTTTCAGAGCCATTGGATTGCATAATTAATATTGTCAATCAATAATATGAAACTATGATCTATTCTTAAATTTCATTTGGACCATATATTGGAGTGCAAAATTTCTGCTACTTGTTGGTTTTGAACATGAAGCATTGTATTCTGAGGGCAAATTTACGGAAAGTGTTCTGTTGCTATGTGGATTATCCTGGAAAAATTCTGAATATGAAATGCCCTCATTTTAAGATGGAAACACAATTCTTAAAGTTGAAACATTTCTGGCATGGCTGAAATAACATTGGAACACGTTTAGTAAGTCCCAAACAAATGCCCTAAACTACAGACAAGGAGTTTGATTTTGGAATGAGGTGTTTGAAGCTCAAAATTTTTCAAATGGGAAATGTATTACATGCTACTGAATTTAGTTTTATTTTTGAGTACGGTAATGTGTATTGCGATTACATTGTTAAGAGATCAAATACTCAAGTGCTTTTGTGTGTTTTGCAGATTAATAGCTGAGATACTGATCAAGTTCTGTCCATCTTCAATGAGGAACTACAGGCTGATCTTCTGCCATAACCTTAAGCAACCATAAATGACAAAAGAATGCTTGGTCAGTAAAGGTAGCTGGCATAGAAAGTATTTTGTGAACATAGGTGTTTAAGTGCTGTGAGGTAGGTGTTCTCAACTATTATTTTCTCAAGATACTCATAAGTTGTATTGATTTCAAAGGTACTGCTTTATAAAAATGGAACATTCTTCAGGTAAATACACCGTGATCTGCAACTCTGAGTAGTCTGCACACATTTTCATATGTAAAGCTTCCCCTAGATTTCTCATATTGTACAGTCCATATTGGTTAGAATATCCATTCAAATTTAGGTTTTTTTTATTTAAGATACTACTTGTTTATTTATTGGAATTATCCTTATGAAAATCCAGTTTTCCTCCTTATTTTTTAAAATGCCAATAAACGTTTGTAAAAGGATGAAGTTTGGCAAAATGTTCTTTCTACTATTCAAAAGGCATAGACCTAAACTGGTTGATAATTGATGCCCAGAATTGTACATTCCAATTTTTTAATAAGTTTTGGATATAGTTCAAAACCCACCCAGAAGTATTTTGTGGGTTGCATGTAGTAGTGAAGGTGCTGTGTATGGTCATCATGTGATCTATTAAGTAATATGTGATAAAAATTATAAATAATCAGTCAATCAGTTTATAATGTGCTTAAAGTTAATGAAAAGTGGTTTGTTTCAGAAAAATTAGGTAGCTGTATTTTAAAATTGCATTCCCATCTTTAAGTGTTTAGAGTAATAGAGATGCATTTGTTTTAAATCCCGAAAGACAAATGCTGTTGAATAAAAGTATTATTGCAGTTCCCTTTTCCTCTAAGATGTCTCCTAAAATTTGGGGGAATCTTTCACCTATTGAAAGTTTTATCAGCCTGCTACAGTGATAGTAACAGGCTGATAAAAAGTAAGAGTAATCCTCTTCAAATTGAGCCTTTGGAATCCTATTAATTTTTTAGGAGGAGGGGGCAAATTATCAAGACATAATTATTTCACCAAGTGTTTTGTTTATTTTCTCTTTATTCCTGCAAATGTATTCATATATTTTATTTGGAGTTTTGTTTAATTTTTCTGTTTTAAGTACTGTATGTGCTGGTTGTCGTGGATGATTTTATAGCAAAAAAGCAGATTTTTACTGTAATAAAAATTATATATGAATCTTTAGAATCTCCTGTGTAATTGTAATTGTGTCCAACATTTTCTAGCTTTTATTACATTTCCACTAAGCATGATAAAATGTCTCTTATTGTTGGTTATCCTAGATTGTTTTTCTGGTTCATGTGCAGCAATAATACATCCCTTTATAAAAATTATCCTTAGGACTGTAACAATAGTATAAATTTCAGTCCTTTCAGCCACATATTGTCTGATTGATCCATGTACATATTATTACCATAGTTTTTACCACATTTTATCATTTATTTTTTCACGTCTGTTTCAGAAGAAATTCAGTAAAAGTTTATACATTTTAACAATAACATGTTCCTCACTTCTATACAATTCCATTTCAGATTCAGTCTTGCATTATTCAAAACCAAAAGTTCTTTTATCTACTTTAAATCTTTTTAATAATTGTACATATGAAAATAATTGAGACGAATATCCTTTTATTATCAGTTCGTCTACATTCTTCTTGACAAAATTCTAATACATCAGAATAAGTCTTGGCTTTTTCTCATTCTAAAGCATGATAGAAGCTTGAACAGTCATAAGAAAGTATTTACTTATAATAAACTTCTACCACTTTGATTTGCAAGTTAAGCCTTATCCAGCCTTAACATCAGAAATACCTAACCAAATTTTGGTATTCATTCTGGTTTACCAAGCTTTTAGTGTAAATTTGCCTGGCAGCCAGAATCTAATGAAATCGTCACTTTGAGATGGTGTTTAGAGGCAGTTCTAATCCTTTTTCAGGTAATAAATATCTTTGGAAAGCAGTGCATTACATTGAAGAAGTTAAATCTACAACTGATTTATTTTCAGAAAGACACTTTGACATTGGGCTGCATAAAGATATGAGGAAGAGCTCCTCCCCTTCTTTGAGTAATTGCAACTCTGTTCTTACTAATAAAATATTTGGAATTCCACTTGATGAACTGCAGCAGGAAGGGCAACCAGGCAGTGAAGTTCCATTCATAGTCCGCCATGTTGTGGACTATATTGAGGAACATGGTATGTATTTTCATCCTGTGCCTTAATGATAAAATTAAAACTTGAAAATATAAATGTTTTTCACATATTCTTCTTGGAAAGTTATGAGTACAATTCTCTCCTATGCTTTATAATGGTGAATGCCATCCTACTGTCTTCTGTGCCACTCCTATAAATCTAAGAAACATCTGTATAGGTAGTTCTTGACTTGTGACCATAATTGGGATTGGAATTTCCATGATAAGTTGTTATGGTCAGAAGTCAAGTTAGAATTGATTTTATGACAGTTTTTACAGTGGTTGTTAAGTGAATCACTACAGTTACGAAGTGAATTTGGTTTTCCAATGGGTGGTGTTTTGTTGGAATAAATGTGAGTGCAGAGATCATAAGCCATTTTTTCTGACATAATTTCAAAAGATTGTTAAATGAATGGTTGCAAATTGAAGATTACATGTAATGGAACAAATTGTTCTCCCATCCCTTTATATATTCACTATATAAAGGGGTTGAGGACATTCTGGAGTGGATTTGGAAGAAAAAACGAGAAAGTTCCAGTGCGCAAATAAAAACTCATGGGATAAACTACTGGTACATTTTATTTTTATGTGTGTGTAAATGTTTTGAGAAGATTTGAACTATTTTAAGCTTGAAACTTCAATCAATGCTCTTAAGCATCCTATTTTGAGCAAAAACAAATGTTAGTTGACATACTAATAGTACAGGAAGTCCTCGCTTATTGATTGGTTTCTTAGTGACTGTTGGAAGTTCTGATAGAACTTCCCAGAACTACTTATAACCTGTTTTTGAACTTCTGATGCCTACACTGACACAGACACACAGCCTATGGTCATGTGACTGCATTTTGGGCATTAGTTAACCGGCTCATATTTATATTCATTTGCAGCATCCCGTGGTAATTTTGGGTGGGTTTTTTTGCCAGTTTCCAGCATTTACTTCATGCTTCCAGCAAAAAACTCCCATTGGGAAAAACAGACTCGTTTAACAACTTCAGTGTTTGCTTAAAGAGTCCAGCATTCACTTAACAACTGTGCCATATTCTTGACTGCCACAAAAGTCATAAAATCAGACACAGTCATTCAATGGCACGCTTAATGACTGCCATGACTTGCAACCATGATTCCTGGTTCAATTAAAGTCTAGGGCTACCTGTATTCCAAGCAAGAAACAAGCTCTTTTCAACCTCTAAACAGTCTTCTGTCTATTTTCCATTCAAAAGTTCCACAAATTTGAAATGGGAAGTTTTATGGGTTTCATTGTTAAATGATAAATTTTTTTGCAAACCGCTCCAATATTTTTGTTGATGTTTTTATATGTTTCTTTGGGAAGCAATGTTGGCTAGGGTCGTCTTTTTTGCCTGTTTTTGTGACATTCATAGGTAAGAAATGAATATATTTTCATTTTAAGCAAAATATTGTTTTTTTCATTCTATTTGAAGGAGGTCTAGAGCAAGAAGGACTTTTTCAAGTCAATGGGAATGCAGAAACAGTGGAGTGGCTTCGGCAAAGATATGATAATGGAGAAGATGTGGACCTGGTTAAAGAAGCAGATGTACCTTCTGCTATTAGTCTTCTTAGATATTTTCTTCAAGCACTTCCAGAACCAGTTATTCCTGGCACTCTTCATATGCATTTAATACAACTGCCTCAAGGTATTCAATATATCTGAAAAAAAAAAACTGTTCAGAAATACTTAATTTGGAAATTTAAAATGCCTGAAAAAAATTTCCCCTGTAGCATTCCAAATGTGTATCAAGATCACTGGAAACCTTGCTTTGATATTGCTTAAAATGAAAGCTATATGTAGTAGGAATAGCTCTCCTTCTACTTTTAGGCCCATTTAATAATTATTATGTAAACAGAACATTTATTATGGTCACGTTGTAATACCTACATATTTACACACATAAATGCACACTACGTTATTAATGATTGGGCTTTATTTGGTTTGGAACTCTGTTCATTTTATATCCATTGGATATATAGAGATAGGTTTTGGCCCTAGCTCTATACCTCAAAAACTAAAAATAAATAAATAATGAAATTATCTTAATAAATCCCAACATACCTATTTGTATGTGATCCTTTTTCAGAAATTTGAAAACAATCTAACATAAAAGCTGATCAGTTGACCTTTCAAAGAATATGTGTTGGATGGACTGAGTGAAGTCCACGTGTGTTAAAATATCCTTGCATTTTAATTTTTGTGGTTTAACTATATCTAAATTATGTAAACATTTCAACACATGGTACCACAAATAAATTTAGATACTATGAAAATTTAGAAATTTTGAAAATGTTTTGAAAGATACCTTCAATTGATACTTCATATTTCTTTAGTTAACATCAGAAACATTCTTAAACTCTTTTCTAGAATTAATAGAAAAATATTCTAAATGTATGCACTTATATGTTTCAATTTCTTCTATTGAGTATTTGTCAATCAATTGCTAAATAAACTATTTTTCTTAATATTAATAATCAAAATAGATTTAGAGTGACTATCATATCTTGGTATGTAGGTAGATATAGGTTTGAAAATTTAAGGAATGCTTGGCAAGGCAAGCAAATGTGCTCTTGTGAACTTGTTGTTCAGAAATGTCAAGGGCAACTATCTGTTAAAGGTTTGATGCACTCATTTCAAGCCTCTTTCTAGGTCCTCTGAACATTTGTTTTAGCAACGATTCTGACAGATACCTTTTTTGTGCGTATACTTGTGTGTTCAGATAACTGAGAAAAGGCATTGAAGCAGCTTCTTAAAAGATTGTCACAGACCCGCATAACAAGGGCTAAATAAAGAGGTAAACTTGAACAACTGAGCAATGTGTATGAGTTCTCTGAACCATTATAAATAAACAGAATCAGAAAATAGCTCTTGATTGCTGCATGTACTATATTTAAATACAGATCTTTTAATCCAGTGTTTCGTTTTCTTTTCAGTCTAATAATACCTTCTTTCAAAGCCAATCTGATATACTTGTAATAAATATTTTGCAAAAGAAATGCATAACTTAATAACTTAGTATCTGTGCATTCTCCTAGTGTTTCGGTTAATATGAATATATAAAATGCAATCATGTTTTCTGTCAGCAAGATGGAAACTCTATTTGCAGAATTAAAATATGACAAACTATAGAAGTAGTAACAGCTTCAGATGTTAATTCCTGGTATAAAATGACTAATACTTGGGAGAGGATGGGAGTTTTTAATACATATTAAAATATATTTTGTGTATATATCTATTAATTTAAATCCATCTGACAAAGATAAAGATAACATAAAACTAACAAATAATTATACAACAAAATAGAGATGATAAGAAAGATTATTAAAATCAGGGGCAGAAAATGAAGTGAAAAATGTTCAATTACTGAAAAAAAAATTCACTTAAAAATAACATTTCTATTTAAAATGGAATTGAACAGTTCTGCATGAAACGTCATTCTGGTATTTGAATTGAAATTTATCAAATGTGGAGCAGTACATTAAAATTTATTGAAAATTCTATCACATTTTGCAGATTATAATGAAGATGAATTTGGAAGAAAATTAAGATTCCTCTTGCAACAACTTCCGCCTGTGAATTACAGTTTATTAAAGTTTCTGTGTAGATTTTTAGCTAATGTAGCATCACATCATGAAGAGATTTGGTCTGCAACTTCATTGGCTGCAGTTTTTGGTCCTGATGTCTTTCAGTAAGATATTGTTCCCTTCCCCTAATGAAACTTTCGAGTAAAACTGTATTTAAGAAATTTCTCATGTAATCTAACAATTCAGTAATTTATTTTACCTTCCTTAATTCTATCCATTCGGCAAATTCTATTAAACATTATTATGTTAAAATTATATGGTTTTGCTAAATTTTTGTTAATTAATTACTTTAACAAAACTCAATTTTTGTGAAAATATTGGATCTGCCCATTACTTATTTTTTTCAGGTGTAATCCCACCATTATATTAGATGCTCAAAATGCATAGTAAATCATTTTCTGATTAGTGTGATGAATAGATCTCATTCTTCCTAATTTCAGAATGGCAAAATTGAATCAGTTAATTCATGCAGTGGCCCTGTTTGTTAGACAAACCTAAATGATAATTTCTTGTAGATGGTGCTCTTACAAGGTTGTCTAGCTTTAGAGAGGAAAACGGTATATAGGCAGTCCCTTTTAACTTTTACCTCTGGTAATCCTGGAGTAGGAAATATTAACAACATTTGATAAAATAATGTTAAAAACATGAATTTAGTTTTGGACATTCTTAAAGCATTTACACAGATGTGGAGGATCTGAAAGAGCAAGAACTTGTGAGCAGAATAATGGCAGGACTGCTAGAGAATTATGATGAACTCTTTGAAAATGAAGAGGAAGATTTCTCATCTAATGATTTAAGTTCAGTAACTGAGCAGGTAAGAAACTAATGCATCTTTGGATAGATACAATATTTATCATATATAAAAATAGAAATGTTTTGCTGTATAATGTACTGTGAGATTTGTTTATAAATTCTAGTTAGTATACTTAGTATAATTGGGCTTTATTTATGTTCCTAACTTTTCTTTTACCATATGCAGAAGATGTTTGAAATAGCTGGGTTGTAATAAAACCCTGTTATTTATTATATAGTCCAGAGAGTAGCCAAAACGAAAATTCTGAAGTAATGTTCTATTTGTAGAAATGCAGTTATTAGCTATTTTACTCAATTATTAAACAAAACCAGTTTTCATGGGAATCTTAACGCTAATCTATGGTTTAATGAGACGTCAACAAGTCTAGCCTTGTCATACTCTTCATACTTCTCTCTTCTCTTTGCTACACGAGAGAGGAAAAGTATGTTGCATTTTCTCAAACATAGTGCAATATACTGCAAAAGTATGTGCAGTGCCGTGATTGTAATATTGTTGATATTGAAACTAAGACAAAATCATGGTTTAACAAACAAGAATTTTGTTGAGTTCATTCATCGAGTAATAATAATTATAGCATGCTCCAGTTATATGTATTGGGTTTATTTAAGTCACCTTAGAGGGGAGATGGGTGGCATAAAAATTTAATAAACACAATAAAATAAGTAAAAATTCTTTCTCTGCAAGTGCAGCGTGAAAAATAGTTATACAAACCAGTTCATTTAATGTTACTCTTTAACCCTCTGTCTCCTACTGGGAAAATAAGCACGAAAGCTAGTAAGAGGCAAGAAAAATACGTATGCACAGAATCAGTGTGTCTAGGCAGACTTTGGAAATAGATGACTTACCTATTGGTGGTTGAATTTGAACACAAATTTAGTCTATTGCATTGATGTTAGATTGAGATTTCATTTAATTGTTTTCAGAAATAAGGAGAGCAGAGATTTCAGTATTATTAAGCTAGAGAACAATGCTGCTCTTCATGATATTATATGTGCTTTACTTAAAAAAGGTCCACATTAAATGTCTTAATAATCTTGTGCCTTTCTTCAAAGAATAGATATCTTTGATTTCCTTCTTGTATACTGGCTTGAAGTTACATATCATAGCCCTGGCTACAAGTCCAGGGGTTCAATGATTACATGTATTCTTTGTTGAGTTGAGATCCAAAACATAGATATCAATAAAGTTTGATCGACTTTATTTTTAACATATACTTACCCTCCTGTATATGTAATTTAGTAATTTGTTTTATCTGAGAAAATGGGATCTTGATGTTACTTGTTTTTTTTTGTTTTTTTAAAGATAAATGATTTGTTGGACGAAGATGATATAAAGCTTGAGCAGTCTGAAGAACTGCCAGAAGAAGAGGAAGATGAAGAAAACACAGAGGATCCAAAATATAGGGAAGGTACAGAGCCTCAAGATATGATGGAGAGCATCCTGGAGTCATGTAATGTTTCAGCCTCAACAAGGTATCAGCAAAGATAGTAAGGATGGTATTATGAGTCAGTACGCTGTGTTATACTTCAATAGTATATATGCTTCTGTTTTTGAAGGATTTTGAATTTTAGGGTTTTAGTTATGCAAAATTTTGGAAACAACTTTTCAACCATTCTGTCACAAAAGTCAGACTTAGATACAGTAATGTAGTCAAATTGACACAAAGATCTCAGACCTGAGTTTTCTTCATCTAGAGAAATTGATATATAGAACGTTAGATGAAGTCAAAACAATATCCCATATTTGTGACTACTAAATAAAGTTACATGGTCTCTTAATAGGAAAAATGAAATTGACAATTTGCTGTAATTCCATATAGTTTCTCAATATTCAACTGCTTCCTAGTATATCCCTAAATGGACACAAGGCTTTTAAATGAAAAAAAAAATCAGTGTTAGAACCCATTTAAAATTGTCTTTTTTGTAGGCAAATAACATTTTATTTATTATACCCTGCATGTTTTGAATAAGGTAAAGGTTCCCCTACACATATGTACTAGTCATTCCTGACTCTAGGGGGTGGCGCTCATTTCTGTTTCAAAGTCAAAGAGCCAGCGCTGTCCAAAGACGTTTCTATGGTCATGTGGCCAGCATGGGTAAACCTTCAGTGCATGACTAAACATGTGTTACCTTCCCACCAAAGGTGGTCCCTATTTTTCTACTTGCATTTTTACATGCTTTTGAACTGCTAGGTTGGCAGAAGCTGGGACAGGTAACGGAAACTCACTCCATTATGTGGTGCTAGGGATTCGAACTGCCTGAACTGCCAACTTTTCTGATTAACAAGCTCAGCATCTTAGCCACTGAGCCATCGTGTCCCTATATGTTTTGAATATAGCAGCCTTAATATAGCAGCTAACTAATTTATTATGAACCAAAAAATAGGAAATACTATTTTTGTATTTATTCTTTTTATATATTAAATGTCTCTGCTGCTCATCTTTCTAATATAGCAACTCTGGGCAGCTTACAATTTAATAAAAAGTTAAAAAGTGCTAAACAATTAAAATTAGAATAAAAAGATTAAAAGTTAAGAACCAAGATGTGATGAGAATCTTCTCTACCCTATCAGCCACGCCCAGTGTAGCAGGCCCCAAGTAGCAGAACCAAGTTTTTAGACTCTTTCGGAAGGTCAGGAGTATGAAGGCAGATCTCACCTCTGATGGGAGAATATTCCAGAGGGGGGAGCACAGTGTAATTTTACAATATCATGTAAAAAGAGGACAGAGAGTACATAGGGTGATGCCCAGCTATTTTTAATACTTATTTCTGATTATTTCATAAATATTAGGCCACATTAAAAGCATGTGTATAAAACAGTATTCATTTTCTTGTCATACACATAGACAACGATTAATTCAGGATTTAACCTTTTCATTGCATATAATTTTTAACTGAGGGCACAGTGGAAGTCCATACATAGCTAGCCATATTTCTATAGTTACTTCATTGCCAATCTGTTATGTACTGAAGATAAATTGTCTAGATAATGTTTGACATTTGTATGTCAGATTTGTATTTACTTTTAGATGTTGATACCATAAATGTCTTCACCTCTGTTTCATAAATTGGATAGTTCTGTCTTCATAATTGCAGGATTAATTAATATCTTGTAATGAATAATAAATAACACTAAAGAGAATTGGAAGGGAAACTCAAGATGCATTTATTGTTGTCTCTTATGATTAGGAGATTGAAGGCTAAAACATATGAAGAATGGTTGCAGGAATTTGGTATGTCATGTTTAATGAAAAGAAGTATCGGGGTGACACGATAGCAGTGTTTCAAGAGGCTGCCACAAAGAAGAGGGGGTCACCCTATTCTCCAAAGCAGTTAAAGGCAGGACAAGAAGCAATGAGTAGAAACGATCTAAGGAGAGAACCAACCTAGAACTAAGGAGAAGTTTCCTGACATTTATTAATCAGTGTGATGTCTTGCTTCCAGAATCTGTAGCTGCTCCAACACTGGAGGTTTTTAAGAAAAGATTGGACAACTGTTTGTCTGAAATGGTATAGGGTTTCCTGCCAGAGCAGGGGGTTAGATTAGAAGACCTGCAAAAGCAAATGCATTCTGTGATACTTTTATTGTATACTCATCTCTACTGATGAATGTTAGTTACTTTCATAGCTGGATAAACCAGTTCGATTGCAGTTTGAGCTGAGTTTCCCATTTTTTGGCTGCATTAAGGGCTTATTAAGGGCTATGATATGGAATAATTGAAATTAGAATGACATATATTTCACATTTTTCTGTGATGATTTAAACGGAAAAATTTGCAAATCTGTTCAGATGCCCTTAAGATCCACTATCTTGGATCCAGGAGTTGCCTATTAGAAGTAAAATGTTGATTGGGCAGCTTACTGTCAGTAGTGACCTCATGTTGCAGTCTTTTCTATGTAGACTGCAGGACTTAGTGCAGTACTTCAGTGCTATTTTCGAGGCAACTACTTAAATTAAGCAAGCAGAATAGCCAACAGAGACTGCTGATTTGTTTAGTTTTTTTTCCAATGAAGTGTTTTCATATGAAATGTTCATTTGGAATAAGAAAAATAATGAAAATGGCTTACAAAGTTATACTACATAGGTAAGCTGACTTGAAGGATTGCATGATAGAACTGAAATAACTTTTAAACGCTAACTAGCTTCGGAAATATGCACTGCTATACATTGCTATTTCCCTGCAGCCGCATAATCTATGATATTTAAAGAGAATAAACCTCTTCATGTATTCCTAATTGCTTATTTGGGGTATTAAAATTATAATGCTTATGAATATTTACATGATTTTGTCAGATTATGACAACATTAAAATGGTTATGCTGTATCATGCTGTGTCATTCTTTGTCAGGAATTCACCCAAGTAATGCTGCTGCTTGAAATACTAAAATCTGTAAAACTAATGAAAGAGCAATAAGATTTTTTAGGCTTGGAAGTGATATTATTTTTTTGAGAATAATCACTGCATTGAAGATAGCTGAAATAGGGGAGGCATTGTTGACTGTTTTGTTTATTGACTAGGTTTTGCCTCCCCCCTTCTTGGAAGCACTAAAAAAAGTTTAGAATTTTGTCAAATGTAACTGTTATATAGTATATCATTTAATAAAATGCTTGCTGATCAAAGTATCTTACATAAACTTTGAATATTCAAGTGCTTATTTAAAAATTAATTTCCTTCATTTCTTTAATAAATTTTGTTGAAATATTTTATTTTGTTAAACTTTCTTTTGATCCTCTGTATATAATATAATACAGTGTTAATATAGTGCTTAAGTTATTCAGTTGCTAAATCATGTTGACTTTTCATAACCCCAAAGCCATAGCACACCAAGTCCTCCTGGCCTCCACTGCCTCTCTGAGTTTGTCCAAATTCATGTTCATTATGTTGATGACATATCTAACCATCTCATCCTCTGTCATCCCCCTTTTCCTTTTGCCTTCAATCATTCCCAATATCAGGGACTTTTCTAATGAGTCCTGTCTTCTCATTAATGCTACTTAAGTACTTCATTGCATGTCACAGGTTAAGAGCTTGTTTGTATTAGTTACAATAGATGAAAAGCATTTGTTTTTCCATTCCAAAATTAACAGTTGCTTAGTAAAAGGGGTGGGGGGGAGGAAGAGGTTGATTTGGAAAAAATAATTAGAGGACATATTTTTATGTATAAGCAAAAATGAGATGGCCTTTGTTATAGCGAACAAAGCAGTTGTAAAACTAATTTAGTTTAATACTTAAAGCTTTGCAATTTATATTTTAACTTAGAGACATTATGACATTGTAGGTATGCTAGGATCTTAAAGGGTTTTGGTGTTTTTTTTTTGGTTACAGAACAAAATTTGTTAGTAGTCCTGCTACTAAAATCATTTATACCCGAAATGGAAAACCTTTGGTTCTACTTTTCCCCAAATAGATAACCATATAATTTTTTTATGTAGCTAGATCTTAGTGAACATATCCTTTATATAATGTTCTTCTCTATTATTTGTCTCCCTGGTTCAATACTTAAAACTGACTAGAGCTTCCAATCAAACATTTTCTATTCATGTTGAGTTCTTCAGACATTCAGTTGAACTTGCACGTGAAACCTCCTGACCTTTTTACCTGACCTGCAAAGTCACTAAAATTTCTTGTTTGGAGGCTACTTCCCTGTTTAATTACTCTTATACTTCATGAAATTATGGATATTTGACTTACTACTTTCTGAACTATGCTTGCCTCTATTTCTTTTTTCTATTTTATATCATGTTTACTTAGATCAATACTGAACAGATGCACAATATTTTTAACAATTTACAAATGTTTATTATAAAGATTCTGTAGGAAAAGAACATGACAAAAGATTAAATGACATACTTATCTAGGTTTTTTTAAAAATCCCTGTAGTCCTTTTGGTTTTTTAGGAAACACAAATTGAAGTTATTTCAGAAGAACTTTCATTAAAAATTCACATATTTTGTTTGTACAATAGTTTGAAAACTCAAGTACAATAAAGTATAGAATTTAATGAGAACGATACATATTTTGATTATGGTACCTTGAACATACTGGTATTACTACTTTTTCCTAAGAAGTAATGCTTTGCTGCCTTTAAATAGCCTCAATTTTTCTGGTGGAAGTGTTCATATACTAATCTAAAGGGAGAATAAAACTGCCTTCTTACCAGTCATAAGAAGTCCTCCCTCATATGTTACACCCTGCTGTGCTGCTATAAACGCGCTTGCTATGTTAATTAAAACACTCTTCTTTCATATCATGTTTTCCTGGGAGGAAATTAAAAATCTTTTTTTTTCACCTCTTGTAAAAAGCATTTTGAATTTCTTCATGTAATTTGAAGGGCAAGGAAGAAAAACACACATCCCTTTTTTATGTGGAGGAAAGAATATAGTTTTTCCTTTCATACTTCATCTTTTCAAGAAACAGCAGCAAAGTGATAGTTCTGCTGTCTTCAAAATATTTATAGGAAACTAGGCCACATATTTTCCTTTATAAAAACACTGTTTCTGTGGACAGGCCGCTAAGGAGAACTTCTAAAGCAGCTTAGAAAGGATGTGACTGTGTTAACATTTCAAATAGAGGTGTTTTGTTCATGTTAATACACTTTGCAGAGCACTTCTTGAAATACTTTGCACAGGCTTTCCTTACATTACATAATAACAGGTTAATAACAACAGTTATTGTTGAGATCAACATCTGGGTCTGTTCTATTAGTAGTTTTTATTATTTTGCTGTACTGTTTTGCTTGCGGAAGTTATGTTAAAGGACTGCATTTTAAGTATGCTGAAAGAGAAAATTTTAAGAGTGGCAAAGGCAACTCATAACCTGGTCAACTAGAATTATGCCTGATTCTAAAGCTTGTATTAGTGTTTGTAACCTGTCGTTGATATACTAGGTTTCTTTTTGAACATCATTTCAATATACTAAAATGAACTGAAACCTGAATGTCTCTGTGTATCATTTTTATTGCAGTGCTCATCTCTCCCCCTTAAGTATCTTGCCAGCTTCTGCAGAGTAAGTATAATTTCCCCATTGGTGTAGAAAATATTCATGATTGCATTGTATATAGGTAACCTCGACTTACAACTATTTGTTTAGTCGCTGTTCGAAGTTACAGCGGCACTGAAAAAAAGTGATATGACCATTTTTCACCCATGGTCCAGATACTTGGCAACTGGCATGTATTTATAATGGTTGCAGTGTCCTGGGATCTTGTAATTACCTTTTGCTATTTTCTGACAAGCAAAGTCCAGGGGAGAGCTAGATTCACCTAACAACAATGTTATTAACTTAACAACTGCAGTGATTCACTTAACAGCTGTAGCAAGAAAAGTTGTAAAATGGGACAACAATTGTCTTGCTTAACAATGGGAAGCTTGGGCTCCATTGTGTTTGTAAGTCAAGGACTGCCTGTATTGTTATGGAACCTTTGCAATGCTGATCTTTCAGTGAATAAGAACTGGCTGACTGTAGTATAGATAAAAACTTGGAATGAATATTGAATGACTGTTTAAAATATCTGTTAATTTTAGCCCCAATTTTTCTTTTCCTAATCTTCCATATATCCACATTTATTATTGATTTAAGAGCACATGACTTGTATTGACCTAAATTCTTGTTCTTTTGACATTTGTTTTTTTCTGTATTCTTTAATTCCTCTTTAAATTATACCTTTATATTGTACAATTCACAATTTAACCCACCAATTCTCAGATGGGTTGCTATTCTTTTGGGTTGCCCTCAATGTGCTTCCATTTCTAAATCTGGTACAAGATTTCATTGTATCACTTTGAACTATGAGCATCAGAAAAATTCATGATATCACAGCAAGCTAGTGATTAGGAGTGTTTTATGAATAATGATCATTGTTTTTGTATCTATATTGATATTAATGTTTCAGTTAATAAAGTGAGATTTCGGATACAGGGAACCAAATGTAAATAAAGCAATAAATAGGCACTAGTCTACAATGAATAAATTAAACATTGTTCTTTAAGAAAGCTTGAACAAATAGTAATATGATGGAAGACCATCCTTAAGTGAAAACTTAATGCAGGTAGAAGGAGGGAGCAGTTGGTTAGCAAACTAGGATATACTCACTTGTTTCAGCTTACTTGATCAAGGGTTAATTCAAGTAATGTTTTCCCTCCTATTAAAATTAAAAATCAATAGAAAAATATGCTGAATCAGAATATGGGATGGATAGTTCTTGGACTTAATTTTTAAATTTTTTCCTGCTTTCAGTTGGAATTAAAAAGGAATTTACTTTAATCCTTTGCGTATAAGGGATTTGTTTTGATTGTAGTGTTTTTTTTCTTTCTGTAGTCTGTTACTTTAGCTTTTCTTTCTGTTTGTCTTATTTGAACTGTACAATAATAACAGACAATTTAATTCAAAACTTTGAGAAAAGTTTATTCTTGTAACATAAGCACATTCTCTGAGTCTGTTTGGTAGTAAAAGTGAATGAATAAACTAGTTTCTTTTCAGTTGAACATCCTCTGCTTGCTAGGAACAAAACTGAGCAACGCATAAGAAAATAGATTATTAATACATATTATTGTTTTTTTTCAAGTATCTTGGAAAGAACAATTAGAGCAGCTGTAGAACAACATCTCTTTGATCTGCAGAGCAGCATAGATCAAGATCTCAAGAATTTACAGCACCAAGTGGTGTGTCATGAAGGAGATATTGAGGAAAATGAAAAAGGATCTAACAACCGGTAAGATTTTTTTTTCTATTGCTTACTTGATTACAAAAACAATCATTTTAAATAGAAATGATTTTTAAATAATAAATAAATAAATAAAATGAAATTTTATTGTTGCAGTGTTTGGGCACTATGTGATAGTGATAGTATGGATAATGAATAAAAATGATTATAGTGATGATAATGAAGAAGAAGATATTTGATAGCATTTCTATTATCTTTAATATATTTCATAAGATATTTCACAGTGTCCTGATTCATGCTCTGTTGCGTTTTACTTCAAATTAGTTTCCTGTAAGAATAAACAAGGGACTTTACAATTGCTGTCCAATTGTGGCAGGTGATGATTTACCTGCAGGACATTCTAATTAAATAAGGATTATAATTTGTTGTTACTGACAGTATTTTCAGTGATGTTAGCCAACTGCAAATAAAATACCCGAACTGAATGATTCCACAGAGTAGAATACTGTTACATCACAATTGGCACCAGAATGTCTGTCATAAGTGAGAGTGGTCATAAAGCAAGACATCATAGGCGCACAAATGCTTGCTGCTGCTTGCTGAGGCTCCTGGGGTGTATGTGTGTGTCAAGCAGCTGCAGACCCATGTGGTTGCAGGACTGCTTACCGCCCCATGAAGCAGGGTGCAGGGCAGCCAAAAGGAGATGGGCAGCTAAGAAATATGAAATACAAGCGAATAAGTGGGCAGTGATGTGCCCCTTGATTGTAAGTATAGGCAGGCTGCCAAGTGCCTGAATTTTTGTCATGTAGCTGTGCTGCAATAACTTTGGGCCATAAGTCCATTATTTTAGAATTGTCATTTTGAACAGTCGCTGAATAAATGATAGTAAGTGGAGGACTACCCGCAGCATCTTAAGATCCATTCTTTGATATATTAGCCTTAGTGGAAAGTTTCATTCCCTCCTGCTTCTTCTGAAGCTAATTTTCAAGTAATGTGTTTGAATGGACAGCAGCATCTCCTTCGTAGATGTACGTTGTTTCCTAATGGTTTCAGTGTGATCAACTTGTATCAACCAACTACAACCTATGCTTCTTTCTATCCCTGTTCTAAACTCCTTGCTTTGGGGAATAGCAGTCTAAGGATCATTGCAGTATCTACAGCCTGTGGCTGGATATGGTAGGAACAGTATTAAGTTTCCCCAAAAGTAGAATGTTATATGTATTTCTGCTATAACATTTATGAGCATCTTATTCTATAATAAATGGATATTAGGAAATTACTTTTTTCTTTTCTGAATGCAGTTGTACAGATTATAAACATATTCTGATTTCATTAATCCAGAATATTATGATCACCAAAATAGTAAATGCCTAAAGTCCTTAACTGAAACCCATAACCAGATAGTTTTATGCAGGTAAAATTCATTATTTAGCATCTTGTTCCTTTTGTTAGGGATGATACTGAAAAGAATATTACTAAAGATTATGAGAATCTTGGAGACTGCTCTGAAACAGTGAATTGCACTAAATTAGACAGTGAAATTGTACAACCTGTGTCTGAGGAAAAAGAAAATTATCAGGTAAGAGTAGCATAAAATATGCTTCATGCATTTTGAGTTTTGTTTCCTGTAACTGTAGTCTGAAAATATTTTAGTGCAATCTGAAATATAACCAGAAGCAATACTATTAGTATTTGTTTTGTAACTATATTGTTATCCTGCTGTAAAGTAGCTATAATAACAATATCATCACTTTCCATTCTTTGTTGATATAAGAGAGTCTCCAGACTATGCTTGTGTTCTTCCTTTTAAATGAAGTATATTTTATGGTCATAGACCATCATGATTCTTCTTTGTAACTCTGGGTGGGGAATGTGAGTCTAATGCAATCTGCTAGGCAGGTCGTCCAAGCCATGGAACAAGAGTTTGCCTCCTCTCTTGAAACTGAACTTGAACTGGCAGGTGCTCCATACACCTGTAAATACAGCTTGAAAGGGCAAATGGTAGTCCAAGCTATAAGAGCTTTGCTTTTAGACACTCATTTGGAACACCTGTGAGCACAGTTCTGTCATTTTCATGTAACAATAGATAGGAGCATTGCTTTTTCTCCATGCAGAAGATGAATCCAGTGCTGTACTTCTGACATTAAACATGTCCATCAAATTCAATATCTTGTTCTTAAAGCCATCCATATGCTAGCAAGCTTTACACTTTTTCAAGTTTCCTTTAGTTTTTGGCTCAGGAGACTGTACTCTCCATGCCCTTGGGGTAAACTATGAATTGCCCTGTGTTCTTTAACCTTTTCACCTGTTATTTTTAATTTTTTAACTAAAGCATTCACATAATTAATTCCAATTAAAACTGTTTACTTTGCCATTCTTCTCCTTGTCTTCTTCTCTGACCAGAAGCCAAGTGAAATATCCATTAAAGAACACATATAAATTTGATACATTTATTCCTGTAAGAACTTAGTTGGATTGAAAATAAAAGGTATTTTCAAGATAATCCAGGCAACATGATGTCTAAGCAGGGAGTTGTATCAGATCATTTCAGGACAATTCAGGATTCTACCAGAAAATCTTGTTCTTTTGTCTGCAGAGACCTATGTTAATTCTTACTTGCTCCTGGGAAATATATGTCATTTATCAAAAAAATATGTTTAAACCTTCATTGTTATAGGGGGGAAAATTGCTACAAAGCTGGAATGTTGCTCCCATAAAATTTAGTTCCAGAATGTTATTGTCCCATATTTTATCAGCCCCTGCTCTGACCCCCCCCCTCCCGACTACTTAACAGGATATCCCCCATTTTATGTCTGCTATATCCTGTGCACATGAGTTCCAGATATCGTTGCCGTTTCACTACATCACTTCTGTTTTGAAGGGGAAAATATGTTTAGGAGCTGGGAACTTGCATAGCATTTCTCAGCAACTCAAAGCAGCTATATCTTTTCCTGAGTGTGAATAACTGCCTTCCATAAACTTTGGAAAAGACACACATATATTAAAGTGTTGTTGACAGATACAGTGTGTACACTTGTGAATGTTTTGAAGCACTTCTTTCCCTTTGAATCTGATCAAAAGCATTTCAACTGTCATACAATATATATTTATAAAAAGCCAAAAGAGAGGGCACCAGGGAACACTTTTACCAGGCCTAGAAATTTAAAGCAGCTGACCAATCTGGGACCACCACCTCCAACCCAAAATGAAGGCTAAAGTTTAGATCATGTTTGAAGATATTTACAGATATGTATTTCGTTATATCTATATATTTAGTGTCCAGACTTATTGGAATACCGCTGCAAATCTTAAGCAGTAATTTTTTGTTCCTGCTAGCCTAAGTCTTTTTTTGCCCTGAAAGAATTTGCCCTTGTGCAAAATATATGATTTTTGCCCTGTCCTATGTGACATGCTCTTTCAAGAGCTATACTCTCAAGAATATTGCAAAATACCTTAAAAAAAAAAAGAATCCTACCTCTGAGTGAATGCAAGTTAAAGGAAAAATTAGCAAAGACACTGTAGAAAAGCTTCTAGTGGCAGGGTGGCCTAGTGGTGAAGACACTTGCCTCCCACTTGGAAGATTGAGAGTTTAATCCTAGATAGCAGCAAATGATTCTCTCCTAGGGCGCAAAAGAGAGAGAGAGAGAGAGAGAGAGAGAGAGAGCATGGTGTCAGGAAGGGCATCTGGCCAGCAAACGCTCAGCTCCATCCAGTTGCTCTGACTCTATCCTGAATTAAGGAATTACAGAGTGGTAAAAAGGCATTTTTATTGTAAAAAAGCCTCAGGTCTATAGAAAAAATTCAGAATTAAAAAAATGACTGTCTGTAGTTAATTTACCACTTTCTTCTAAAGGAAGATAATAGCTTTGTAGGAATCTAATTAATGTAGTCCTCCTCATTATAAATTAGCATGTTTTGCAGAGGATTTTCAATTACCATACTACCCTAGCAATGCATAGCTGAATTATTCATCTTTATATTAATATTAGAATCATTTGTTAACTTCTTTTGCTAAGATTTACATAATATTAGCATGCTACCATTATGTTAATATTATAAATATTAATAAAAGTAGTTGCATTAAGAATCCTACATGTATTCTTTCAAGGAATTTATCTGGAAAATGCAAATATTAGTATTTATATAACGTTCAGTTTGATTTACAATAGTTTTGCTCTTCCTTCCATTATAACGGATATAAATAAGACCACGCTGTTATTTTAGTCACTGTTACAGAACCCTTTTAAATGCTTCAAATCAAAAGAGCCAAGAAATTGAATGTATGTGTTTATAATGATAGTAAATAGGTTCTGATATAAGCCATAGAAATAAAAAATATATATTAGAGATATGCAAAAATTTTAATTTCCAGAAACGGTATTCTGGAGAATGTTAAGACTGTTTTGCTCTTCCAGTAAACCATGCTAACTTTCTGAAGATTTTCGCTTTTCAAGGATGGTTTAGTGGAGTTCGTTTTTGCAATTCTCCAAACTGGAAGTAGTTCAGTGTGCTTTGGGGGTTGTAATACCCCAAATAAACAAGTTTCATCTGGAACATCATTTCCAGAACTCCTTGCATGATTTCTGAAAAACTGCCAAATTACTCCTGGAATGGCATAATATTTATGTGGCTTTTGTATGTAATATTCAGAAAACAACATTGAAGAATGAAAAAACAACCCAATCAAGAAACCGTAAACTGAGAGAAGTAACTTGACTTTAGTACCTGTTTCAAACTGAAAAGTTTTTCTACAGTGGCCTGTTTGTTTATTTGAAAATTTAGCCCCATTAATATCAGAAATATCTGACAATTTTAGGATGATATTGACATTTGGCCTTCAAATGTGCTGGAAATTGTATTCCAAAAGATGGATGGAGTCAGAATGTACATATAATTTATTTCAGTTTAACTGATTATTTCCAACTATTTAAAATTCTCGTTCTGTCACATTAAAAATTACATGTTTTCAGCATTTGGGTTAGGGCTTTGGAAACTGAATATTGCCCTCCTTTTATATCCTGGGTATAAAATGTGCTTTACTTAAAAAGGAAAAGAGTGAATGATTTAAAACTATCTGAAGTATGTTTAGCTATCTTCAGATCCAAGGGACAGAGGAGAGGCTATATTAAGAAGCGCTATTACTGCTTAGCAGTGAAATGCGTATTTTTCTCTATCAGCTGTCCATAAGGATTAGTCAGTAATCACTTTTAATATGATTTTTTCATTGTATTAAATGCAGATTTTTAAATTAAAATTTAACAGATAAGCCAGTTTTAACTGTGTGTCTTTATTAGTGGCATGAGCGCTTTCTGCCTGCAACGTTCTGTGCATGCTGCTGCTTTATTTAGTAACAAGGATTAATAGTATCTTTTAGAGTCCAGCAGTCAAGTCCTCAGAATCCTTGTTGTTAGTATTTTGTTTACATCTTCAAGCCTCAAATTGATCTACATTAGCATACTTCAGCAGGGCACTTCAAAAGTTTTTTGTCTAGAAGTTAAAGTAACTAAGTAGTTTTAAATAAATTTTAAATTCCCTTAGAACCACAGAATGTTGCAGCTTTCTTCCTTTCTTAAAACAGAATGGTGGTTACCATGCTAAGGTCTTTGTTTTCACCAATAGGCTGCAGGCGTATTGTTGAAGCCATGTGATGATGGAGGTGAAGATAAAGAATCCTTTGGAAATAAGTATGTACTCCAGTATACATGAGAACATTGGGTTTGGGACAAGATACTTTTTATTAAGGTTATCTTTATGAGGAACTGTTTTCCAGAATTAGTTTCCTTAGTATGAGGAGATCTATCTGAAACTTGTTGAAAGAACATATAAAATGTCTATACTCAGGATATTTAGGACTGAGTATATTTAGTCAGTTGATAGTATCAGACCCAGGATTGTAACCTTATTTTGTGCTACAGGATACAGAAAGATTAACATATTTTAAATTAGTGATTTTTGCCTTTAGAGTAGGAAAAAGCTCAAAGGCAAGTAAGAAAATAATTTCATATTGTATAAAAACTTCTGTCTCCTTGAACTCAGCTAGTCTGCTTTCTTTTGTGTCAACTAATTTTTATATTATGAAATTATTTTATAAATCTTGCTTACCGTTGATTCAAATTCCACAAAACCAAGTAAATCAGATTCTTTACAATTTCTCAAGGCAAGTAAAACAGAGTTTTGCAATAAATTTAGATTTAGTTTAATAAATCAAGAAGAAACGTATTTAACAAAGTTTGCCATGATTTTTTGAATTGAGGAACCATTATTTGTTATTCATTATTTAATCATAATCAGAAAACATTTTAAATGCTTTCCAAACCATTTCTTTTGTATATTTTGCTTTGTCATGATAGCTAAATTGACAAACTATCATTACAGCTTTGTATACACAGATGTATGATACTAGGTTGTGTGTGTGTGTTTATGTCTGTGTGTGTATTAATAATATCAGTAGATGGGGGGGTAAAATCGTAAATATAAAGTTCTTTGTTCTGGTTTATCAGAGAAAAGCTAAGTTTATTTCGTTTTAAACTATATTGAGTTGAGACTATAAGACTTACCATAAGTGTTCTGAAATAATCTTCCCTAACTTCCTTTATAGGCAAGATTGTATATCGTTTGATGATGCTAGCAAAATGACAACACACATGATTCTGGTGAGCTTCTTTTTTCTCCTTTCCCTTGTAAGTCTAGGTACATTTTAAATATATATCCACAAATGTATTACCACTTTCACTTTTTAACTGTATGAATATTAATTTTTATTGCACAGGTAGGTAGCACTTGACATTCTATTGTCTGGTTCCTATTCCATATATTTGTAAAGGTTTGGTTTACTTAATTGCTTGCTTATATTTCACATTCTTTTTATCAGTCAGGAAAACATACTGAAATCCACAAAACAAAAAAGTACATGTATGCTGGAAGTTGCTGACCCTATAATAGTGTATTGTTTATTTACAGGATTGTGTTAGCAACATTTCTGATCAAAATATGAAAAATGAATCAGAGGAATTGAAAAACAAAAACAACAATGCTCCTGAAGCAACACTGTGTGCCTCTTTACCACATCTTGATTTGAAGAACGTGAATGGTGGTGACAAATGGGAAGGTAATTCTTGATTTTGATGTTTTTCAAAAATTGTTAATTTTTGAAATACGTGATCAATATAAGTTTGTATTTGTTTGTACTTAATAATGTATTTCAAATGGGTATTAGTAGACGTCTATTGAAATGAATCAGTAGAATAAAAATTTAGATTTGGGAAGTTGAAACTTCCAAATATTGTTAGTTGAAGTTATCAGTAATTCTTAACAATTTGTGTTAATCTGCTTGAAGTTGTGAGAGTGGGGGTTTCTACTAATAATTCTTTTAAAGAATCGGTGGTTTTCAATATTTGTGCACCACTTGGTATACTTGTTTTTCAATTTATAAACTGCAGAGATTACTGGGGATCATTATGACAATTGTGTAACAGGTATTTCACTCCTACATAATCCTATAGCTAAGAAAAGGATATGTTGACTTGGATGATGCCAACCCCATTTTCCACTGTAAAAGAATGTATGAGGGAGCTTAGCTAGCTTCTCTGTCATACTTCCTGTGTTTTTTATTGTACCGTATCAAGGGAGATGTGGGATTCTACCCATTTTGTTTTTAAAGAATTTCAAGATGTGATAATTCTATTATGTTCTTGCACATCATTTTTCTTGAGATAAAACACATATCATCCATGTAGGAAATAATGACTTAGCAACCATTGTATTTACCATCGCTATAATATGCCAGCAGATAACTATGACTGCTTATATAGAATAATGAAAAATATGCAAATTTTGAAACAAATACCCTATTTTAGACATTGATATTTGTCTCTGACGAAGTAACTGAACTTATAATTTACAATATAAAACTAATGTTGTTGTTCTATGTAACATTTAATATGTAATATGGTATTTAAGAATGGGTTTGAGTCTTCTTTTGGGGGATGGGGAGTGTATTGACCATAAAATGCAGAAGTGCATTTTTATTTCCATGAAAATGTCTTAAAGAAAATTTCAGAATCTGCAACAGCTGAAATTATATTTAAACTTTACAATATATTCAATTTCAGGATTATCTTTTTCTTTTACAATATTTTTTCCTGTTGTATGTTGCTCATAGTAATGCTGCTATATGTCGACATATTTTTTCCATACAATTAACAATCAAAAGACAGCATGTTATAGGCTGCTCCCAGAAGCTCTTATATAAAGAGGCACCATTATTGTTCTGCCTGTCCAGATAGTTTGAAAAAGGTAGCCTCATGCAAGCTGTACTAGTCAAAAAAATAAAAAAAGATTTTTTATATTATCAAGGTCAGTAAAATAAGGACCCAAATTGTGGGGAGCAATATGCAAATCATACTTCTATATTATAAGCCACCCAGAGAGTGTTATAGAAAGCTATGGGGTGGTATATAAACCATATAAATGCTATTTCTATTTTATAACTGTAGCTTAATCTTATCGGTGTCTAGATGATGTCAATTGGACATATTTCCACAAAATGAGAAGATAATAAAATTCCTCCCCAGCCATTGGATTAGCCATTCAAGTTATTTTTTGTTGTATTCTAGAAACACAAGTGGACATTAAGTACATGTAAAACATTAATATAATCTGTTTTGTATTATTTTTGAAAAATGAAATATCATATTTGCTTTTTATATTTTAGTTATCTCTATTTGAACAAGTTATTCCTCTCATCATTGGTATAGGCTGCTGCATTATGCCAAACTATTAAACTATAGTTTCTCTTGAGAATGAGCTTGGAAGTAATTCTTGCTTTCTCTTGTTGATTCATGTGGTAAAGGTATTGGTGAACTTATGGATAACAAAACCTAGCCTTATAAAGCAACATCCAAAGTGCAAGATTATGGTTTCTGCTTATCTTGCAAACTGAACCAATCAATAATATGGAAAATAATGGTTGTTCTAACGTTCCTCTGAATCTAAGGATAAAACATATGTATTTTGATCAGATAACTACTTAAAATGGCTCTTTGATTAAGCAGTAGCTTCTTGTTTTATTTGCTGATATACTCTGGCAACAGGATCCAAAGAAATGCAATGTATTAGTTCCAAAGATAATGGAACTGTTTCCCTTTGGGTGATTAATAGAACGCAGCTCAAGAATATCATCAGACCTTAGGGATTACTTCAAGGGGAGGATTAGGGGCTACTATTGGGCGAAGCTGAAAGTCCCTTTGTACTCTGCAAAGCTCTTTGGATCCTGAACCAGGTTTGTTCATTCTCTGTTCTCTTTTTCAATTCGGATTGAATTCTTTTATATTAATCTTATTGTTAAGTTCTATTTTGATCTAGTTTAGTGATTTCTAGACCTGTTGTGTTATCAGAAATGTGCTTCTTTTTAAAAAATGCATATCTTGCTAATTCAGACAAATGTATATGTTGGACATATAAATAATTGGCATATGAATTTTCTCTGCATTTTGGTTATCTTTAAACATATGTGAACAAAATCTGTCTTGTGTGTAAATTTATTTTTCTTTGAAATGTGTTTTGTTAAACATGGAAAAGCATGTGGCTTTTTTGTTTGTCACCTCTGGAACACTTCTGGAAAGACTTTTAATTAATAAAGGGCTTAATCTTGAATGGTGTTGGGCACCTTTTAACTGCTCTGTTCAGTTGAGAAGCGTGCTTAGACCTGGCCCAGAATCAATTGGAAGACTTTCTGTGTGGTGCTAAACTCCTACATGTTATTTATAGTTTGTTCTAACTGTGCGATGTGTTCACTTCAGTATTTTTTGCCATTTTTTTTCATTTATTAGCGCCATGCCCTATCACTTTTCCCCTCATTGATTTCAAAACAATGCATCTACAGAGAGAAGGGGAGGGTAAGTATGGTTCGCCATACATTCAGTTACTGCCTCTTTCATGGTTTATGGTTGCTTTCAAATTATCCCTTTTACCTGCTGCCTTCTGAAGAGTCATGGCTTATGATTGGTGCAGTGATATGCATATAAATGTGCCAGGTTGACATGCTGGTATGTTCAATTAAATGATTTTAACCAGCAGAACTAGGAAAGACTGCCTCACAACCTGGGAAAGCCTCTGTCAGCTACAGAGGAACATGCTCTGCCAGTTGGACCAGTGAAGGGTGTCCTTATAAAGCAGCTTTATAAGTTCACACCATAACATCATGCCTGGTTGGCCTTTTTGTAATCCAATAACTTATATTAAACAAGAGATTCTTTAAATTATATTTTGGTATTTGGTGGGAAGCAGGTATAAGTGGGTTAATCAACATCTTATTGTGTTGTCACTGTATTGTTCAAAATTATCTTTCAAGTATAAGATTTGCACTGGAAAAACCAAATACAGTATTTATGTCATTCTATTCCTGTGTTTGTAAATAAAGAGGTAGAGTGAGGAACTGTCTGTTTATGTATTAACATTAATATACACACATACACACATGTTATTTTTGAGGGACAATAACAAGGTTTTCCTTTCTTGGATTATTTTAATATTTCAGATTCCTTAGAACAGCCACAAATTATTTCACAAACACACGTTTTAAACATTATTTATAGCTTTAATGTGCAATATTAAATATTATTTATTTACTTTCTTCACAAACAGTTAGTGCTCCTTCAATAGAATTATTATTCTTCAGTATCAATATATGGAGGAGTCAAGTCTTTTGTATTATAATGAAACATAGGGTTTGCACTTCATTATCTAAAATCTTTATGTCAATATATTGATGCACACTGTTGCTTTTGAAGGAATTTAGTGTGCTTTCTGTTGTTTTGGACAAATATTACCTGTTCATATGGTTTAAAGCACATAATCAAAATGCACATGGTACATATTTAGTGTACAACATGGTTTAGGTTTATATATTAATGCATGATGACTATCTAATAAAATATGTTAAGTGGCATACACTTATTGGAAGATTGTTGTATATGTCTTAAGTGTATTGGCCCTATTTTCTTTTTGTTTGCTTTGACATGTAGCTTTCCAGTGTATTTCATTATTCATTTTAGTCACACTGTGAATTTGCAGTTTTTCCCCCCTGTAGTCTTCTAATATCCCAGTGCCATTTGTTTTTTATTTCCTTCTAGAGCCATTTCCTGCTTTTAAATCTTGGCAGGAAGATAATGAATCTGGAGAAGCTCAGCTTTCTCCACAAGCTGGAAGAATGAATCATCCTCTGGAATTAGATAGTCATCCCATATTAGCACACCGGAGTTTGGATTTTGGACAAAGTCAGCGTTTCCTTCATGATCCAGAAAAAATCGATTCTTCATCTAAAGCTCTTTCTTTTGTTAGGTAAGTAGCTAATGTCATTCACAGATACAGTTCATGAGAAAAAACTGTTAATGATTTGTATTAATATATAGAATTTTGAAGAAAATTTGCCTTTTCCACTGAATAGTTTTTATTATTAGCTGGAGTTTGGAATAAATTTATCTTTCTTCAGTTGCAACTTGGGCATAGAATAAAATTTTTGCTTCTTTTAGGCATGTATCTCAAGAAAATTCCAAATCTGGTGTATATTTTAATACTTTTGTATTCTTGTTTGTCCTTAGGTTGCAATAAATCTGATTTTAATTATGCATACATTTAAAATGTTTTTTTAATGTAAATTGTAGCAGTTTAAGAAAAGGAAATTCCATGGCATAATTTCCTCACCTGCGAAAAATAAAAAATTGTGGTATTTTAATGGACTTCTTCAGTTCTGGTTACATATTGTTTGTGTTTCATTACCTTGATAAAAAGAACACATTTTTACATTTGAGGTTTTAAAACATATTTATTTAATTAGTTGTTGAATTTGTGAGATGCTTCCCATCTCACTTCAAATTAATAATATAAAGTATTATATAAATATTTACTTGTGTGTGCATACACACACACACACACACACAGAGTTTTATTTTTAAAGCTGTTTTATTTTTTACTTAAACAAAATACAAAATTTATGTAAAAGCAAGTTCAAACTCCTTCAAACACGTATTAACTTTTTCTCAAAAGTCATCTCTGCAGCAAAAAGAAGGGGCAGTATATAACTGCCATGATTCTACAGTTATTTTAATAAATGTAGTTATTAAAGCTATACAGTTATTTTAATACTTTGGAAACGTATTTCCTAGCTGCCAAAAAGTTGTGGTTTTAGCATAGAAGTTTTAGGTGCTGGTTCTTTTCAAACATATGTCAGTATTCCCCCTTCCGTCATTTCTATCTACTTCATTATTGATTCACATTAAATTATTTGCTGATTTTACTGCCATCTTTATAGTATTGTAGTCCACATGTAGATTTTATTTTTAAAAAGCTACACATCTATCAGATTTATAAACTAAATAAATAAAAAAACTTTTTCAATTTAATTGACAAAAATCAAAACAAGTTAGATTCAGTATAGGTAGTCCCGACTTATGTCCAGAATAGGGGCCAGAATTTTGATCACTAAGCATTTGTTAAGTTACTATATGACCAGACCTAATTTTACAATCTGTATAATGTACTGGGTTTGTGGTGCCACACTTTAAAACTGTTCAGACAAATTGGAACAGATTCAAGGAAGGGTAATTGGGGAATGATCCTTGTTATTAGGGAACTACAGCTAGTGTCATATGAAGAGAGATTGAAACCTTCAGCTCTGAGAATACTAAAAGGAAGATACAGTTGTAATTTTCATACTTGAAGGGATGTCACATGGAAATGCCAAGATCTGCTAATTATGGTTCCAGAGTCCAAGTTTCAGAACAATGGATTGAGAAATATTTTTAATAGTAACAGTGGCAAGAGAAAAAACCAATTCTGCAACCCAATAATGGATTTCCCTTCATTTATTGTAATCATTGTGCAGTGAAAGTTAGGTAGCCCTTATTGCTACATATTTTAGTCGGGATTTCTATAGAAAGCAGTTGGTCAGATTTAATGGCTTATATATCTCTATGATTCTGCAGAGCCGGACAGTTGATGTATCTATTTTTGGTTATAAAGCCTTAAGTTTATATGAAAGTGATCATATAGTTTATAGTTTACCTAGGATAGGATATTGGACACAATCTTTGCCACTGTAGATATAGCTGTAGTAATGGGCATAACATTCTGTTTTTAGGAAAACATAAGAAAAACCTTCATATTAATCATATGAGATCTGATAATACAAGTTGAATAGATTTGGTTTCATACCAAATTAACATTTTATTGTGCTATCTATGATAATTCCAGTGTCTCCTTCAGAAATAATCACTGTCAGCTTAGATTCATTAAACACAAATGAGAGATTAGGATTCCTCTATGAGAATTTTTAATAAATACTTTGTTGATTTAGACAGCATCTTTATTAAACATCATTCAGTAAATGTGATCCCTTGACTGCTTACTCCTAACTCTTAATCACAGATATAATGGTGAATATTAAATATTGACAACATGATTTATGGAATTATTTTAGATTGTAGATTCTAAATGTACAATTGAGAGAAAACAAGTTTTGGATATTTGCTAATTTTAAATATGAGATTGATTGACTGATTGATTGATTGATTGATTGAGTAGAGAGAACAAAAATAGATGTTGTCTAAAATCACTATCATTTGTCAGAGAAGCAAAGATATGAGAAAGCAGTAAAAGAATTCCAGGAATCTTCTTTCAAAGAATGAGTAGATTCCAAATGTTTTAATGCATGTAAACTAAAATGAATAGAAAAGCATAATAAATATTGCATTAAAATATTGATAAATGCTAACTGTGAGCTAAATTGATAACATTCAGCTGAAGTATTTAAGTAAATTAGGGTGATGTACATAGACAGAAAAAAATAAGCTTTCATGGAATATGTGACCTGTTTTGGGAAGCTAATAAAGCCTAGCCAACATAATAATTATAAGATTAAGATCCAAATACTTGTAGAATGCTAAAATATTTTAATCCATTTATTTCTGCATTCTGCTCTACTTTTTTGTTAAAGATCTGTTTTTTAAACAATTTATATGGAAAAGGTCTGTTTTTCTTCATAAAGGTGATTCTTCAGTACTATAATTGATCTTAGATGTCATGGTTTACTAATTTTTGGAAAAGTCTTTAGCAAGAAAAAGGGGTTGCCCTATTCAGCGTATTGATTAATAGCTTTTAAAAAAACTTAACCATATTATCTTTTCAGCAGTCAGTTTGATCTAGTAGTTAATGTACTAGGCTAGAAACCAGGAGACAGTGATTCTAGTCCTGCCTTAGGCATGAAAGCCAGCTGGGTGACACTGGACCAATCAGTCTGTCAGCCCAGCCCAACCCAATCAAGCCAACCCAACTCAGCACAACAGAGTTGTGTAGAAAATAGGAGGAAGTAGTATTAGACATGTTCACCCCTTTGAGTTATTTATAAAAATAAGAAGTGGGAAATAAAGTAGTAATTTATAGTAAATATTGGTGACAATATTGTAAAAGTAAAAAATTAATTTTGTTGTCTCTGTTCCATGGATTTTATAATGGAAATATACCTGTTTCCTCTTTTAACTGAATATGTATATATGTGTGTGCATATGTATATATAATACCTATATATTACCTTTCAAATTCAGAACTCGAAGAGCAGCATTTGGTAGTTCTAAGGATGATAGAAAGGAAGAAAAGACTCCATATCAGCTAGTCAAAAAGTTGCAGAAAAAAATAAGACAGTTTGAGGAGCAATTTGAGAAAGACAAAAACTTCAAGGTAAATTATTTTAATATTATACAGTGCTGTTTTAGGATAATATTTATTTGCTCTTACTTTACAAAAATGAACTTGCATTGCTTTTTTTTTCATCATTCCATTTTTTCCTCTTTTCTACTTAATTTTCTTTTCTCAATTGTTACATACACAACACACACACACATGTGTTCATTGAACAAAAATACGATAAAAAGAAGGATCTTCTGTTTTCCTTTGTAGAATACTATTGTATTGCTGTGTTTATTTTTTTCTGTTGATTGCTAAAAAAATTTTTTAGCACTAAAGCAGAATTGCAAATATCAATTGAAAAGAAATCAGTAAGGAAAATCATGAATTTAAATTCCTCTCAGAAAGCTATATGATGGAAATGAAGCTGCTTATTCCTTTAGGAATATTTATTACCTGGAGAACCAGTGCTGTGTTAAAGTGCTGGAGTAGAAGGGTGACCCAGTTTCTAGTCTTCCCTTAGGCATAGAAGCTGGCTGAGTGACTTGGGATAGTCATTTCCTCTCATCCTTAGATTGGAAAGTTCAGAATCTACCAATGTAAACTGGATCAACATATGATACATTACTATCCATAACCTTTCATCTGTTACTATGGTTACTATCCACAAACCTTTCATACTGATTCAGGATGATGGGGATAATGATAAATTTGGATTCAACTGCATTTCAGATAACAAGTATATATGTAAATCGCTTTATATTGTAAAAATAATATATACACAAAACATATTTATCTGTTACTAAGTAGACATTAAGCTTCCAGCTATTCTTTAAGGGCAGCTTCATAACAATAATCTAGAGGGGAAGTTACAACATTTGGGTGACTGAGAAGGGCACATTGGTCCAGGAATGGGTGTAATTGGTGCACAACTCATAATTGTGCAGAATTGTGCCCTTCTGGCCCTGACTATCATTTGTTCCTTGAGTAGGAGAACCCCCTATATTATGCACTGGGTCAATCTGGAGCAGTGCAACCCCTCCAGAACTAAAAAGATGGTATGTCTCCAAGAGCCAAAGCCTTCCTAACCCAGAGCTACTCTGTTTTGCCAGGTTTTAGTTTTAGCCTGTTGTTCCCATTCAGATCTCAATAGCCTTCAGGCACTGAGAGGATGGTCACAGCATCGCTTAATTCACAGTAAGCAGAAATGTACAGCTCACTATCATCAGCATACTGATGATATCTCACCCCATAGTGATGGATGATTTCCCCATACAGTTTCATATTCATGGTAAACAGGAGCAACCCTTGTACAGGGTTGATGATTAGACATATTTTGATGATTAAATATGTTTATGATAATAGAAATACAAGTAATTTTGTTTTTGTTATCTCTTGCCCCCTTTTTAAAATACCTTTTCTTTGTTCTTTTTGAACTTTATATTTTTTTTAAAAATTACTTTTTTTGCAGCCTTCGTATTCTGATATTGCAGCAAATCCAAAGGTTTTAAAATGGATGACAGAGCTTACCAAATTAAAAAAGCAAATAAAAGGTAAGTTTTTCATAGAATTCTCTTCTGCAGCTCATGCTTATTAACTACTGATAATTTTTGTTAAGAAACTGTTTGATTATTATTACATTCTACTTTCTAAAACAATGTTACGTATATGCCAATAAAATTCTCGTCAGTGTAACCTTAAATCGGATGAAACTTCCAGTTAAACAAATTTTGAACAGAGGTGTCTCAAATGGGCTAACTTACAGAATGCATCAAAATCTGGGCCTATGACTTTTATGAGCCATGAGATTGAAATTTGGCAAAATTGTGGGCGATTGAATGCTGCTGTACTGCCATCCAGAGTTCAGTAGACCAATCCCCCTAGCTCTTCAGACTAGCCTTTCCTTCAGCTGCTGGAGATCAGGTACATCAGTCCTGTTTTAGCCCTCTGGAGGCCATTGGCTGCCAGAGGGTGTTAGTTAATCTCACTCCCCCTGCCTTTTTGTCCTTGGTCATCTTCTTTATCTGTTAGATAGGAAACACTTCTGAAATAGCAATAGCACTTAGACTTATATACCACTTCACAATGCTTTACAGCCCTCTTTAAGCGGTTTACAGAATTGGCATATTGTCCCCAACAATCTGGGTCCTCATTTTACTGACCTCAGAAGGATGGAAGGCTGTGTCAACTTTGAGCCAGGGAGGATTGAACTGCTGGCAATTGGCAGAATTAGCCTGCAATAGTGCATTCTAGCCACTGCACCACTACGGCTCTTGAATGATGACCCATTGGGTCCGGGAAGTTTAGTGTCTAAATTCCTTATTTCAGTTTTTATAGGCAGATTAGAGGCAATAGTTACAAAGTGAGTGTGCTGTGTTCTGTGTTCTATAACCTTGTGTTTCTTTTTTTTAAAAATTCAATGTAGATGCAAAGCACAAAAGCTCAGATGAATTGATACCTCAGGCACGTCCACGAAGCAACACTCTTCCAAAAAGTTTTGGTTCATCTCTGGACCATGAAGATGAAGACAATGAAGATGACCTGCGTGTTGCTCAGAAAGAGAAGAAGCCTACAAAAGAAATCACTGTTGAACTAATTTTAAAAAAATTAAAAGAAAAGCGAATTGAAAGATGCTTGCCAGAAGATATAAAAGTAAGTATTGCACATGCTGCTGTATCAGAAAAGAAAACGCATCTGTCAAGTTCATTATCCTGTTGAATTTCCTAATATCTCATTCGGTAAATAGCTTATAGTACTGACCCACGACGTATTAATTTGATAGGTAGAAATATGAATAATCTCTAATGCATGCGTTGGGCTCAGCACAAGAAATAGAATTTGTTTTCTATAATGTTGGAGACAAATATTAACCTGATAGTGATTTAAAGGAGGAAACATCTTGCAGAAGAAGCAGTTCCCTGGAATAGAATGCTTTGACATTTTAGGGACAATATGCAGATCTTTCTCAATATCTTGTCTTATATATGTGGTGATGGTGGTAGGGAAACATAGCCTTGATCTATGTTTACTTAACAAAGACAACTAACCAGATTAATTTGTATAATTAGACAGTGTTCAAAATTTCAGCAAGGATAAGAGTTTATTAAATTAGACTATCCTTAAATAAATCAGTAGAAAAGGATTCGTGAAAGGTCTGGATGACTTCAAAACCTTCGATTTGCAAAGATGGCCTGGAGAGGTGGCACCATCAGACACATTTTTAAAATTTGTATGATGATTTCGTTGATAGTGGTGGCATTTAGGGCATAAACATTAACATGGAGAAACAATGTGCAAATTCAGTTTACCACCACGCCCATATTTTAGAACTCTGTAGGAGTGAGAACGGTAAAAAATATCATTCTGAACTGTTGTTTGCCCAGTAAAGTACTGTGATAAAGAAACTGAAAGTCACTCTAAACCAGATGTATTGTCAGCCGGCAAGCCAAAATGCAGTTTTTACACAACTTATGTCCTTATCATTCAACTTTGTCACCAGGAATGCCTTTGCTAGAAAACCCATCTCTTTTTTTCCTCTACATTTAAAATCAAAATCATTGTAAGAAAATACTTGACATCTCAGATTATACTAACAAACCAATTGTTTGAAGTGGATTACAAATAGGATTATATCATTTTATAACTGGGCTACCTCTGTGGAAGGAGCAGGACTCCCAGAAGGCTTGTATAAGTATCTTTGGTCAAATACAAACCCTTCTCCAGGCTTTCAGGGATTACTTGGTTAAAAATAATGTCCTAACAATATTGGATAAATATAGAGGAGTAAGTCCAGATTTATTGCCCTTTTTTAATGAAAATGAATGTATATTCACATCTGTAATACTTTGTATAGAACACAAGATTTAACCCAGAAACCAATATAAATTCTTTTGACACACTTCCCCGGGAATGGTCAGAAATCCCATTGGTTTCACCATTTTGAAATAAGTTGTATAGTTTAAAGGAATTGCAAAAACAAGATAGATGACCAACAAAGCTTGTAATGCAGACTATAACACCTGCTGAGGCCTAAGGATAAGAAGTTATTGAAATATGGTATAGAAAATAAACAAACCAAGGATTGTATGATTAAATGAATGCAGAATGCAAGACCAAATGATATGCAGCAGTGGGAACATAAATGGAAAAAAATATTAACTTTCCTGCAGATACCACATTTGGAGAAAATTGGTACTAGATGCTTTTCCATCTATGCAGTACCCCAGATTTTGTTGCTCTAATAGACAATTCAACTTTTAAAAGACTACCAGACTACGAGAAATGCAATAAGGTTGGATCCAGGTTGGATCATTTTTTTAAATATTTTGTGGTAATTAGAGGCTCAACAGTTGGAAGATGCTTCACCAAAGAATGAAGCAAATTTTACATATAGACTTATTGCTTGTCAGCCAATTTTTTGCTAAATATTACCAAATATTATACTCCTACAGAATATATGGAGTTGGGTCTGAACATGAGAACAGCTGCTACGATATTTTCTGCTTCTTGATCAAAATTACACAAAATTCCTCCTCATAAAATAGCACACTGCTATGGAATTAGGCATCCATATAGCAAATAACTTCAGATTTAAGAAATAAGTCTGATAACTAAATATATTTAACTTGGAAACCACCTGTAGACTATAATTCTGCCTGTGAACATCCAAGTCCAAAATTTGGGTTACTCCAAAGTTTTAAAATGTTAGATTTTGCTTTTTTGTTACCATAAGGACACACTTTTTCAGCTTAGATAGAAACGTGTTGTTTATTCTTAAATTGGCTGCCTTTGCTAACTCTCAATTTAACTTGACGATGGTATTAAGGTATTTAAATCACCTCGATATGCTGTATTAATCTAAAGTTACTTTGAAAAATTTTACTCAGTTTTATACACCTTTGTAGAACGTCCCTTTGTATGGACATTCAGCGATGGTAAACTAAAATTGCTAGGGTTGTGCAGTCTAGAGAGTTTGAACCAATCGCATTAGTTTTGATTTATCATGAAGATGTCTTAAAATTGTTTTGAAGTCTGAAAGAGTTCAAAGAACAGAAAACCCGCTTTTCTCCAGGAGCTTTCTTGTCATCTTTGGCTTTCTTTCCACAACCAAGAAAGGCTAGGTTGATGGATACTTAGGTCAGAGCCTTTCTGTGCTAGCATTCTGACTTTGGAATTCCTAGTGATGTTTAAACATGAAATAAAAATATTAATGTTTTGAGAGAAATTTTTAAAGCCTATAAAATGGATTTTAATATTACAGACTGTTTTAAAGAATGTTTTGCATTGCCTTTAGTTTTCCTGCCAAGAAACTTTTCTGCATTGCTTTAAGAAATCTATATGGGAAGAAAAATGTTATAAATATTTTCATCATAATCTCTTTTTCAATTTAGCTATTTTAATGTTATTATTTTAGCCACACAAGTAAGTATAAAACAAAAATGGATATAGGATAAAACAGTTTCATTTCTCCCATTATAGAAAATGACAAAAGACAATCTGGCAGAAGAAAAAACTTCACTCCAAAAAAGTCTCCTGTTCTATGAAAGTCAGCATGGACGTCCGGTAATATTTCATAGTCTCCTGCCTGTTTAAAATTATTTTAAAACTATTGATATCATCTTGCAGAATCACTGAGCACTTGCCCCAATCTTTCTTCTGATAGCTTTAGACTGAAGGAATTGCTTTGGGGACCAAAGAATAAATAGGACTAAGGCCTTCAAAACAGCTTAACAATACAATTCTAAGAATTCTAAAAGAAACGGGTTTCTTTTCAGAAATTTGTTCCTTAAAACTTTCATCAACGTTCCTTGATATTTATCTAAACGTAATCTCAGAAACAGAATTCAGAAGTATTTTAGGAACTATTAATTTGAGATGAGAATACAGGTATTCCTCAATTTATAACCACAATTGAGCGCAAAATTTATGTTGTTGAGTGAGAAATTTGTTAAGTGAGTTTTGTCCCATTTTACAACTTTTCTTGCCACATTTGCTAAGTGAATCTGGTTTCCTCATTTACTTGACTTGTCAGAAGGTTGCAAAAAGTGATCCCATGGCCCTGATACACTGCAACTGTCATAAACGTGAATCAGTTATCAAGCATCCAAATATAAATCATACGACTATGGGGATTCTACAATGGCCATAAGTGAAAAATGGTCATAAGTCATTTTTTTTCAATGCTGTTGTAGCTTTGAATGGTCACTAAGTGAACTGTTGTAAATTGAGGACTAACTGTAACATTTAAGAGTTTAATTTTGCTGACATTTTGTATTCTGTAGATTTTTTTTTTAAAAAAAATGAAATTAAAATCTAAGGAATTGAAAAGATGGGGTTGCTTTACTGGTGTGAATTGAGATGCTGCTTCTTCGCATTGTAAAATGCAAAAACCTATCTCCAAAAGACTGGCTATGGATGGGTGAATGGGTGGATGGATGGATTGATTGCTATACATACCGAGTTCCTGCATACAACTGTTATATGGCTCACAAGTTAAATTTAAATATAGGTATTCTTCATTTAGCTACCCTAATTGAGAGTGGCACTTTGTTGCTAAGCAACGTGGCCACTAATGAAACATCATCTAATCACAACAGACGTACGATATTACTTCCCATTTGATTGTTAAGCAAGCCATCACATGAGAGCAAAATGCGATTTTACTGCCGGCTTCTCCATTGTCTCTCCCTGGCGGAAGCCAGGTGTAAAGTGTGAAAATGGCAATCATATGACTGGAATGCAACAATGATTGTAAATGCCCAACAGTTGCATAGTGCCCAAATATTGATTGTGTGTCTGCAGGGATGATGTGACAATCATAAATACAAGGGCAGATCATAAAGTTACTTTTTCATTGCTTTCATAACTTTGAATGGTTGCTTAACAGGGCAGTTTACTTTCTGATAATACAACCACACATGATAGGTTTTGTCATCCAAAGACCCCCCCCCCATACAGTAGATAAGGATTGAGAATTAAACTTCTATAAGTGCCCCACCTATACCTGTCTCTTATTTGAACATTTTATGTCTGCTTTTTTCCTATCAAGCCCAATTTGTTAGCGATTTATTTCTGTGTGGAAAATTTAGTTTTGCCATCTTTATATTACTATTAGTTTTAAGGCAAACATTTTCAGTGTTTGATTTTTTTTTCTTTCTTTCAGGTTTCCAGAGAAGACAGGCATATTGTTAAACCCCTCTATGACAGGTACAGGCTTGTGAAACAGATGTTAACTCGAGCAAGCATTACTCCTATCCTTGTGAGTATAGATTCCGTTTTTCATATATTTTCTGTTTGGAATGCTTGTCTCAATAACTTGTTTTGCACTCATTTTTGTTTATTATTGTAATTTACTTTTAACGTTCACAGTGACTATAATAAGAAATAACTAGTGAAAACTTTATTCTTATTTTACCTGGTCTCTTGGTTATGGATAACTAATCTCTAAATTAACTCCAATCGCCAAGGTATTTATCATTTACAGAAATTTTTAATATGTACTTCATTGTTGCTACCATTCATCAACAAGTGTTTGATTATCCTTTCAAGTGGCTTTGATTGTTGGAAATGGAGATCTTGTACATATTGTATTATGGTGTGATAGCTTCAATATATTTGGAATGCTTGACATTAGAACATTGATACCATGTAAGAATAGATAAGGATAAGGAGGTGTGGTGGCGCATTGGTTAGAATGCAGTATTGCAGGCAAATTCTGCTGACTGCCAGGGGTTTGATCCTCACCGGCTCAAGGTAGACTCAGCCTTCCATCCTTCCAAAGTTGGAAGTTGGCAATATGTTGATATTGTAAACTGCTTGGAGAGACACACTGTAAAGCACTGTGAAGTGGTATATAAGTCTAAGTGCTATTGCTAAGATTACACTTGGGCCATTAAATCTAATTTCCATACTGAGTATATCTTTGACAACTAAGGGTAACCTACTATCTAACATCATTGCCATGGCCCATGTTCCCCTAAGAATATGCCACTTATTCTCCAGTATCTCTCAAAGATAATTCATACATATTTTCCCAGACCATTAGTTCATTTAGCAGCTTATATGTCATTTATGTGGTCTAAGAGATTTAAACTCAAACATGTTTCAGTCCCAAGTTTCAATCCTGCTTTTTTGAGTTGGATAGATTACATTTCTATACACATTTTACTGTTTCTCTTGTTGTGAATTTCATTTGTGGTTACTCTAAGCTTATTAAAAGTCTTAAGATATTTGTTCATCTATATTTTAATTGTCCTTGTAATCAGGAATTCTATGATATGTCACTTTTGCACATGATGTCTTCCTCTACCTTCTGGAGGATCATTTTCATAGAATTAGAAAATTGCCTTATAATAAACGTTATGACAATGAAAGTCCTCTGTTATTATTCTTTTATGCCTCTTAAAAACATTGTTTGTATTTACTTGAGTGAGTGAGAGATATTATGCACTAATTATAGTTTTGCTTTTATTTATTTTTTATAAAATTTATTGGACACCTATCTTTATCATAAGGTAATTCTGGGTGGCTTACAAACATTCATGTTATTCATTTTGCCAATTACTTTACACTAGATAGGGACTCCTCAGTTTTGTCAAATTTCATTTACTTTGATTTCTAAGCAGGGATGGATATTTTAACATATAATTAAAGTCCTTCCTTTCTGTTTTTTCCTTCTTTTGTGCAAACAGTTTTCTTCAGTTGATGCCTTCCAGTAATCATCTCATTTCTTTTATATCTATTGCATTTGCTTTCCTGTATTAAGAATTCAAATTCCTTTTGAACTCCCATACTTTATTGTTCTTTTTAACATTAGAGTATACACAATGAATGTTTTATAGTTTGAATCAATATTCTTTATTCTCACTTTATTCTACGGATAAAAACAGTGAATATAGAATTTCCATATGTTTCAGAAAAATTATGTAAAATAGAATGGTACATGTTCTAAATATAATAGGAACATAGCTTTTAAAGCATTATCACTTTTTGATTATATTTCAGGGATCACCATCAACTAAAAGACGTAGTCAGATGTTACAACCTATCATAGAAGGAGAAACAGCCCATTTCTTTGAGGAAATTAAGGTATTTTATCTGTTCTGGATAAAGATGATTGCATTAGTTGCCAATAGCTTCTGAGAAGTTTAAAATGCTATACTTATAAAGCCATACACTGCTTGCACTTATGGTACTTATTTCCTGTAGTCTAGTCTCTCAAAGGAATTGGCCTAGCTGGTTCAATCAATCTAGAAAAAACTTTACCCCCATTTTGGTTTAGTTAGCTTTCTTTGGTTCATTTAACTTTATTCTATGTGTTTTATTACTTTGTAGATTAAAGATTGTGAACTTTCTGTTTATGTATGTTGGGTCTTATATGTAAACTGCTAAGAATCTTTAGGGATTTGGCAATTGTTAATATAATTAATAAATCAGTAATAAAACTATACTTACATTTAAGTTGTTGCAAAGTGTTGCTTTGGTGACATCTCTGGCCTTCCCAGTATAATTGTCCAGAAACATTATCATTAACCCAATGTTACTAATACAAAGGCTGAGGTAATGTAACATGAAATTTTGAAGATTTATTGATCTCCTATTTGGTATCTTGTGTGAAGCCTAATATTGGAGCTTCCTAATATAAATGATCCTGCATTCAAAATATCCTGGATAACACAGCTTCTATAAAGTTTGTAAAACTGTAGGAGACCTGCAAATGCTTGAGTTTATATCAGTCTTGGGTTAAATTTTTTTTTGCCCTTTTAATGATTTTATTACTTTAATTTAGGGTACAGGTATGATAAAGATTTATATATAAAGGGTTCCTCTCTTATGTGTAGTTATTTTTATGAATTCCAATATTGAATATCTTTATGGACAACTTTCCTTACAGTTGACTTGCATTATTTAAATACATAGTTATCTGTACAAAAGCTGTAAAATTAATTTTATAATAATGTCTTATAGTATTATTAAAGCATTTTGAGGTGAAAAAAGAATATTTTCTTAGATTGTTCCTATTTACACCTACAATTCTGTTATACTTTATAGTGCCTCTGAAATTTTGTTATAAAACATTGAACCATACAAAAAGACTGTTTACAATAGCAAATTATTTTTCCTGTTACTTTACTGTGCATCCCTGTTCCCATTGTTTGTGTTTCCCAGGGTGCTAGAACCACTGTTGGCTTTAACACTAGACTTCACATTAATGTCCACACAATTCTTAACTATCAATTGCCATAGACATATAAATCTGCAGTAGTATTGTTTTTTTTTATTTTAAAAAAAACGTCCCCTTATTTGAATCCTTAAAACTTGTCTATTATTTTTAAGGAAGAGGAAGAAGATGGTGATATATCTTCAGAATTGACTGATATTTTAAAATCCACTGCCCAAATCCACTCCATTGCTACTAGCCCTGTTGAAAACTCAGAATCTGATGTTGAAGAAAGTCAAGAGAAACTAACTCGAGAGCTTCGACTTTCCAGTATCCGAGCAGCTTCCATGTAAGTAAATATGACATTGCAAATAATGAACAAATTGTACAGCTGCATATTTTTAAAAATTATGTGTAGATTCTGATTAAATCCAAAATTCTGAATAAATCCAATATTGCTTAATTGAAATAGGAAATTCTGAAATGGGCCAGAAAAGTGTCCAATCATAATAGCAACTGCTTTGACATCAGATAACTTCCTGAACATTTTGCATACCTCTTCAGTGAAGTCTCTTGAAATGTAACTCTAGTTATATCACTTAACACTTCTTTAGTTTTCTTCAAATTATTAGCAAGAGAACAAATTAAAGAAATAAATAAAAAAATTATTTGATACAAGCTTCTAAAAGAATTATCAGTTATCTAATTAAGTTGTGCTTCTTTAGAGGGCCACTCATGATGGTATTGATCAGCCAGAGTATTTTCTTACAATTCGTTTCTAGGCCTGAATTATTAGAACAACTTTGGAAAGCCAGAGGTGAAAAAAAGAAATTGCGCAAAACCCTACGGGAATTTGAAGAAGGATTTTATCAACAAAATGGGAGGTCAGTTTAATATATAACACCGATTGCCCTAGATTTGCATTGTTAATTTAAAAAAAGTGGAAACATGCTTGTTTTAATTGAAGCATTAGTTTTGCTGGGTGCTATTTAGTGAGAATTAATACACATAGATTTTTTTTAATTGAATTAATAATCATTTTTATTTATGTGTATTTTAATTACCGTATATACTCGAGTATAAGTCAACCCGAATATAAGCCGAGGCACCTGATTTTGCCTCAAAAAACTGGGAAAACTTATTGACTCGAGTATAAGCCGAGTTTTTCAGCACATTTTTTGTGCTGAAAAGAACCCCCTCGGCTTATACTCAAGTGATTCCCTCTGAAAAAAAAATGGTGTGGAGCTCCGGATCTGGGCAGCCGCTTCCCTGCTTCCGTGTTTCCTTTGCAACTTGTAAGCATGGGGATAATAGGAAGCAGAAAAGTTCTTGCATGAGGATATATTTTTTCTTTATTTAACTGTTTTTAGGGGGGGGAAAAGACCCACCGTCATGTGAGAATGCTCAGACACGAAATCTATCCGCCTGAAAATAAGTGTGTGTGGGGGGGGGGGGATTTTAACAGAGGGAAGACATAGGGAGAAGGCAAAAGCGACGGAAAAGATCCTTCAGGGGAAACAGGGGGAGACTCACCCTTGGTCCAGATGAGCCCCCTTCCCCACCCCTAAGGAAGCAGAGGCAGCCAGCAAGGGCAGGCAAGCCCCACTTCGCGGACTCCGTCCGTCCTCGCTCCCACCCACCCACCCAAAGCCACGAAGTCTCCCAATTGCACAGCCCAGAATCGCCCTCCCCTCAGGGGGCAGCAACGATGCCCGGTGTTTCCTGAAACAAGAAGCTCCGCCGTGCAATGAAAGCGCCCTGGCTCTAGGCTCAGAAAACAATGCGAGCCGAGGTGGCTTCATTTCCTCAGCCCTAGCTGCTTTCAGTCCGCTCAGGAGGAGGAGGGGGAGGAGGAAGTGGTGGCAGCGGCTCGCGTTGTTTTCTGAGATCGCAGAAAACAACGCGAGCCGAGGTGGCTTCGTTTCCTCAGCCCTAGCTGCTTTCAGTCTGCTCGGGAGGAGGAGGGGGAGGAGGAGGGGGAGGAGGAGGGGGCGGCAGCGGCTCGCGTTGTTTTCTGAGCTCTAGGCTCTAGATCTCAGAAAGCAACGCGAGCCAAGGTGGCTTCGTTTCCTCAGCCCTAGCTGCTTTCAGTCCGCTCGGGAGAAGGAGGGGGCGGAAGGGGGCTCATCTGGACCAAGGGTGAGTCTCCCCCTCAGTTTCCCCTGAAGGATCTTCTGTCGCTTTTGCCTTCTCCCTATGTCTTCCCTCTGTTAAAATCCCTCCCCCCCCGCACACTTATTTTCAGGCGGATAGATTTCGTGTCTGAGCATTCTCACATGACGATGGGATTCCCTCCCCCCCCCGCTAAAAAAGGTTAAATAAAGAAAAAACAATATATCCTCATGCAAGAACTTTTCTGCTTCTGATTACCCCCATGCTTACAAGTTGCAAAGGAAACACGGAAGCAGGGAAGCGGCTGCCCAGCTCCGGAGCTCCACACCATTTTTTTTTCAGAGGGAATCTGACTCGAGTATAAGCCGAGGGGTTTTTTTCAGCACAAAAAATGTGCTGAAAAACTCAGCTTATACTCGAGTATATATGGTAATTAAAATCTAATGTAGAGTATTAGAAACCATTCAAAATAGAACTTTTTTTCAGAGACACATTATATAAGAGATTGGATTAAGCTCTTTGATCATATCAAAGACTATATAATTAAAATGTATTTGATTTCTCTCTCACTTTCTACAAACTAGAGCAGTCAAACTGGTTTAAGAGTAAGATGCACACTATAAAAAATGAAACAGCATGCATTAAACTGAACATGTAAATGAAGTTGAAAGAGCATCTTGACTGCTCTTGTAAAGCAGGATAGAATGGTGGCTATGTGCAGTCTCCCCCTGCCCACCCCAGCCCCTGGTAGTTCATGAATTATGAGTGATTCTCCCATGTGCCAGATAAACTTTTGGGCAATGCAGCCACCCTCAGAATGTCTTGCCTTACCAACTGCCAAAGAGACTCATAGTGAGAGAGGAAATGTCATGGAATGTAGTAAGGAGATGGATCCCCAAGAGGAAAATGCAACTCAGCCCATGTATCCTGGATGAGGGAAAGAGAGTGAAAATAGCCCATCCCTAATAGTCCACATTGTATATTGTAGATACAGTTATTTTAGATGCAGATAGTGGACTCCTCAGTCTGGCAAGATTTTTTTCCTATAGATGTAAAACAATAAAGAACTGATCTTGGAAAAATGCCCACCTGTCGTTTTTGGTTTTGGGCCTGGCAAGCATTCATTCATATAAGATTCTAAAACATTTTGGCAAAAGTTAATGCCAATACCTTTCATTTTTGTTGTTAAGCATCTGCAAAGCAGTGCAGCCCTTGCAACCCAGATAACATATACTGTATTTCTTATTGTTTAGCAGTTTTCAGGTGCTGCACCAGTTACAGTTTCTGCACACTTTTTAAGGTGGACCCACTTTCAAGTATGTTGCAATAGCCAAAGTAAAATATAACCATATCAAAAATAGTTTTCCAAATCTACCCAATTTAAAAATAGAAATAGCTGCTGCACTAATTATAATTGTGCAAATGTAATCCTGATGCAGCTGTCATCTATCAATCCAGTGTCAGCTGAAAATCAGGGCTGCAGATGTACTTCTGCAAGAGGAATGCAGTCTCCACCCCAAACAGAATCTTTTCTCTTGAGACCGGTTTGTTAGTGACCATCAATAACTTCTATGTTGAGCATAATTTTAGCTTTCTCTCCCTGTATCTGCTCATGATACAATTCAGGCAACATTTAATGGTAAAGATTACTTTTTTGAATTAGGTGACAGGAGCATTGGGTATCATAGGAATATAGATAATATCTAATTTCATAGCTTAGAATGATCTTCGTGTTTCATGTAATTGTTGTTTCAAAGCTTCAGCAACTTATAGACTCAGGTCATGGTTTTCTGTACCATCCATCATGGTAGTAGTACATAGTTGAGTATCATAATTTCTATGGATAGTATTGCACCTGAAATTGACCAATGATTTCTCTCAGTGGTCTCGTATGGATATTAAAAAATAGGGGAAAGAAAATCAACACCTCTAGGCCTCCACTTGAAAGTGCCATGCCAGCCCTCATTGGAATTGTTTACTCGGGAAGTGGCAGAGGCACTTCAGACAATGCTTCCGGTCCACAACCTTTGCAATCAGTGCAAAATACCAAGATGATTGGCATCAAAAGCCATTGAGACATGAAACCAAACCTCAACAAACTAGAATGGCCAATGTTTCAATCTCATGCTTATACCTTAATTCTGACTTCATGTAGTTCAAATAATTTACCTCTACGATATTCTGTGGCTGGAGATACACCACTTTCTCATTGACCATCCCTTAAAAAAATGGGAAGTTAGAGGGAGGACCCAAAGAGCTGGGTCTTGAAAGATCTTTGTTTTGTTTCTGTTAGTAGAACAGCGAAAAAGATTTTTTAAAAAGGCATTTTCAGTAGAGTAGGCCCATTACAGCGGAAGGTTAATTTGGCAAATAAGACATTCATTGCATTTGGATAACAAGGACAGAAAGACATAGCTTTGCTTCAGACATGGGCTTATTTCCTTTTATTGATTCAAACAATTGTTGGGTAAATACTAGCAGTATTTATACCTTTTTATCCCCATGTCTGTCATTCTAAAATACATACGTACTGCAGAATTCCCCCCCCCCCCCAAAAAAGAAGTCTATTTCTTTCAGAGTAGAATGGATGGGATGACTTTTTTTCCCACAGCTTCAGTTTTCCAAACGGGTTAAGTCTTGCATTTTTCTATCATTCATAAAATATCAATGCAAAGCTACTCAGTTTTATGAAATGCAGTGGATGTGATTTTCAGACTAGGTAGTCATAAAACATAATCTAAGGCATTATTTGTTTCTTCTTGTTAGCAGAAACTATGTTTATTAGAAGGAAGGATTATATCAATTTCTTCATTCTTATGAAATCTGTAGAGTGAAAAATTTAAACTTGATGCCTCCACTTTCTACTTTAAAAAAGTAAGCCAGCTGAGATTTTTTTAACAACGTATTTTATTTTTTTCAGGAATATTCAGAAGGAGGATCGTGGACCTATGCTTGATGAGTATCGAGAGTACAAGAAAGTTAAAGCTAAACTGCGTCTTCTTGAAGTCCTTATCAGCAAACAAGATCCATCAAAATAAATTATGTTTCTCCATAAAACAAAGAATGGTTGTTTTCATATGCTGCCCATAGTACTGTTAGGGGTATTCTTTTGTCTTGCTTTGTTGAAAGAATGCAGTTTTTTGTACACTTTAGAAGGACAGGTAGGTCCAATCTAGAAAGTTAATGAAAAAAATTTAAATTGCGACTCAATCTGCCCAACTTTAAGAGTTGTTTTCTTTTTCTCATTTTTTAAAAAAGTTACAATATATCTTGTTCTCAAAAGACTTTTATTCTAGAATCATTCAGAAAAGTTGGACCTGCTAACTTCGCTTCATCTGCATTTATTAGTATTACACTGAACTCCTCTGTTGCCTTTTTAGTATGGAAGACAATGGCAGCCAATTAAGAATACTCCTGAACACCATAAAGGAACTGCAATGCCTTTCAGAGGACTGCGTGGAATAACTGATTGCAAATGGCATCTTTCATTTAGTAGAATGATTGATGGATATTGAAATACAAAGTACATTCTCCGGTTTCAGATGACAATGGACAAACCAGAAAGTGACCTTGCTTCTTGTATTTTTAAAACTTGGAAAAACCTGAACATTTATATCACATATTGCCTACAAGACTTACATTACTGTTAATTTCTATTTATTGTCTACCGGTGACAGTGTGTAGTCTGAATTGGAGACTGCATCTTACCCTTGTGTTGGTGCTCAGATTTCATTCAGTTCAGTAAGCTTACACCACTTTTGCTGTATCTGAAACAAACTTATTTTACCAAGGGCTACAATTAATGTAATTCATGTATTGAACAAGCTGGACAGAACTAGCTTTGAAAGAAGCCTTTCTACTTCCGTTTGTAGAAATGGAAAGAGAAGTGATCTGCCTCAAGCAGGTATGACACCGTTTTTGCATGTCAAAGCTTCAGAACCAAGAGGTTTTTTTACTGACTTTTTTTTTGCCTAGTATACATAACACAAGAGCAGCTGATTATTATTTTTTAAACTGCACTCCAAAATCCTTCTAAATGACTTGAGTACCTACATATGAGATACAGTACAGAGGAAAAGGGCTTATATGGAATCCTTTGCACATAGGCCCTGTTTCTATAGTTTGACTGGATTAAATTCTAAGTGTTGAATACCTTCTGGATCTATTTTGTCTTGTGGCCATGTTTTTGCATGTGCCTATTTGCTGCATGTGTTATGAACAGCTAATGCCAACACAAATTGTTTTTCATTGCTTTTCTGAAAAACCAGAAAATGAACTTCAGTGAAATAATGGCATGTAAACTCATCAGATTGATGTGTTTACATGTAATAGGTAGAAAATAGATTTTAGAGACTCCATACTTCTATTGGTTGTGTTTCTCGTTTTTATTGTAATTCTAGGCATGTGATTTTGGAACTCAAAAGTGACTATTAAAATGAATTTATACTCTTAATGTTTTGCCTTTTTATACAGCCTGAAAGGTTTTTTGTGGACTGTAGTGAATTACAAGATCGGGAAATAATCTGGAGATTTTTCCGTGGCTTTTGTTAAACTTCATTGTGCAATGTACATTTCAGTTACTTTCCCATCAATCTGCAATCACTGGTGCATCAAACATCAAAACCTATGTGTACTGTATAGTGTTGTACATGAATGTTTTATATACCACATGCAAAATATCAATATGCACTATTTAAATGTTTGTTTTAAATAATATATTCCTTCTTTATAATGCTTAAATCTATATGATCCCAATATTTTTATAAAGTGAGTGATCAAATTGGTTTCACTTCAGAATCAACAGCTGCTTTTGTGTGTGCTTTGCAGTGTTTGGCTGTTTGTTTGTAGCAAGCATGGCATCAGTTATGCTAAGAGTGTGTGTTGTGCCATCTTATTGAGCAATAAATGGTAGAATTAGGCATTTTGTGATAACACAGTTTTACTTTCATATAAGTAAAAACTATATGTGGATATATAGATATATAAATATATATATATATATATATATATAAAACCAGATATGAATGATTGCTATGTCTGGGATTTCATTGTATAGATTTTTATAATAAAAAAACCTTCATATTTATATTTGTGTTTTGTGTATGTGTGTCCGTGCGCACGTACACTGTTTACATTTTTGCTTCTAAATCTTGGTAAGTGTCATTCTTAAGAGTTGCTAGGTTTTTTTAAAAAAAAGTTTGTTTAAAAAATGTTGATTCTCTTGTGGTTTATCCAGTGGTTTATCCAAACTGATAGTAGTTGGAAGGTGATTAGAAATTAACTTGATTTTTTTTTTATTAGTCACTTTGAAAATGTTATGGAAAAGTGGCCTATAAATATATCTTATAAACATTTCTATAGTTGTGCTTTAGAAAATGTATCTTTATATGGTGCCACTTATAGGTTAAAAAAAAACCTCATATCCAATATATTTGATATGCAGCACTTAAATTTGCTGGAGAATTAGATTTGATGCATGACTTTGTCTTAAATTTAAGCAAAAGCAAGTATGTTTCTGTCATTTATAACAGACATAAATATTTGCCCATGGTGGGGAAAAAAATCATTTATTGCTGGTTACTTCCCATTTCAAATACCAATCCTACAATATTTAATTTTTTTTACGGTAATTAATTTGCTCCATCAGAACATGAAATAACTCAACTTGGCTGACATACCTTCAACAACTAATGTTGAAGACCAACACACGAAAACCTTGTATAATTTGTACCTAATTCAAAATGTGTTCACATAAAACATTAACAATGTAATTTCCCTACACACCCTCAGTTTCTGCAAGAGCAATAGGGATAAACTCTGTTACTAAAGAAAAGAATTCCTTTCAAACTCCTAGAATTTGTTTGCACATAAAATGTTCTGTAAAAACTGTGTTTAAAAAGTTCAAAGATGAATTTCTGAATTACAGCTGCTAAGTTCTGCTTTGACCTCCACCAGTTTTTCATTACTGGATGGAAGAAAAATCCAGTACGTTGTTTAGAGTAAATGATGCCAACCTGAGCCGAGGGGCTCAGCAAGATGAAATACGTTCAAGAGCTGCCTTTGATAACAAAATACAGAAAATATAGTTACTATTTATTAATACTTCTGCTGATAAAAACGTTTGCTGTTACAATTTATATTTTAAATTTTAGGAGATGTTCTCCAAATTATTTGCCTTCAAATATTTACAATGCACCACTGTGGGAATGTAACCATTTCTGGCACTGGGCCAGTGAGTTAATGTGTAGCACGGGTATCAAACTTGATCACGTCACATGAAGTAATTGCGATGTTTTTTGCCTTTGTGGAACTGGGGTGGGTGTGATCTGTGTGTGATGCATCTACCCTGCAGGCCGCCAGTTTGACACCCTTGATCTAACTTAAAAAAAAAAAAAAAAACGGAGCTGAAATGGAAAAGCCCTGGGGAAACAAGACTATTGAAAGAAAGATGTGCATCTCCCCCCCCACTTGCCTGTCAATTCACACCTTTGCTTCTCACTGTACCAGGCGCCAGTGGTAGAACAAATCCTCACCTCTTGCTAGTTCCACTGTTGGTACTGAGCTGGAGGGAGAGTTCTCATAATTGTGTCCAGCTTATAATTCACATCCTTCAGTTGTCTCTCCAAATCTTCTGTATATCTAGAAAGTCTAAAAATAACAAAGGAGATCGAGGTAGTTTTGGAATTTTTGCCTTTGTGAAGCTGATAGCTACCCATAGGGCATAAAATTCCGCAAAATCAAAAGAAAACTGATTAGTCACTTAGCAGTCTAATAGTACATACTGATTCAGGTATAAATTCCATTGAATTCATTGTGTAAATGTAAATTTCATTGAGTTCAATAAAATATCCAGATCAATAGGCAGCCTAAATCTTTCCCCCACAAATAATGTTGTAAAGATATACATTTTATATACATTAGGGACAATATATAAGCTAATTTTTAAACTGAACAGTTTTTTTACGTTAATAACAAACAGCCATTTTCTTTAGAACCCAAAATGCCTCAGTTGAATGACTCTATCAAAGGAGGACAATACCTGACCTAGAACTATTAGCATTAACAGTTGCTAACTGCAGCGTTACAAGTACACCAATATATAATATGAATTAAAAGCTAGATCTCTAAATTCACATTTATTGGACAACATAATGATGTCTGAGAGCCACACTGAGAACACTGATGCAATGTGGGAAGCCAAGATTTGTTGATATTTCAGTTTGGGAGTTTTATTTTATAAAATACATTATGATTGTGCCAGGAATTATATTTTGTGTGAAGATTCCACTTTAAATGTGGAACCTCAAATTGGGGACCTCAAATTGATCTACTGTGATCTAAAAGGTCTACAAAGCTCTACAAAGACTGAAGACCACTGGGGTTATGATGTAAACAGCAACAAACCTCTGAAAGTCCCTTGCAGAAACTGTGTCATACTGTCCTGAGGAAATCTGCTGCCTCATGAGATCCTGCAAAGAGAATTGGTCAGTATGATGACAGGATTCAAAAGAAAAGAGAAACTGTTATTCTCTCTGGGATTGGCAGATTTTATTTGTTTATCAAATTTGTATAGTTGCTATCTTACAGAAAGTGAATTTGGGCAAGGAACAAACCTATTGCATTTATTTAAAAACATTTAAAAACATTAACAATAAAAGCAGAATGAAATAAGAAAAACCATAGACGGAGGGATTTGCTAGGCCTGCCTGCCTGCATAATCAGATCTTGAGGGAATTTGAAAGCTCAAGAGTGATGAGGCTGACCACATCTTTGGGGGTGGGGGAGAAGATTCCTCAATACAGACATCATGGCACAAAAGGTACCTGCCAAATGTAGCTCTCTAGTTCAGGGGTGTCAAACTGGCAGCCCATGGACCAGATACATCAGGCACAGCCATGCCCACCCCAGCTCCACAAGGGGAGAAAACAGCAAAACGTCACGATGCCAATGTGACATGGCAAGTTTGACACCTGTGCTCTAGATGAACATGCCTCTTCTATTAAATCTGGCGGGACAGGTAGATGAAGTTTGGAAGAGGGAGTCCCTTAAATATTCCGGTCCCATGCCATGTAAGTATTTAAAGATCAACACCAGCACCTTGAACTGAACCCAAAAGCAAACCGGTAACTAATGCAGGTTGTGCAGCAGAGGTGTAATATAAGTTCCCAGGAACATACCTAACTGCTTGCACCACTGCATTTTGTACTAGATGAAGTTTCCACAGACCCATGTACAGCACATTGCAGTAATCCAACTATATGTACAGATGATCAGAAATGAGTGTCCCTAGTAGGCCCCCTTGATCCAGGAATGAATGCAATTGGGGCACAACACAAAGTTGTGCAAAGGTTTTCCTAGCCACAACTGCCACTTGCTTTATAAGCAAGAGTCCCAAGCTCCTTTTTCAAAAGGAGATTGGACTTTGAATATGTTTTGCTTCTCATCCAAGAAGCTTCTTCTGACTGAATGATGGGTAATTCAGAATTAAAGATGCTTCTTGGATGACAAGCAAAAAACAGTCCAGTTGCTTTTTGAAAAATCATCTTTGGACAACCATGACCTGGATGACTAAGTATCTCCACAGAC